TATGCTACCATTAAAAACACACATGAATAATATGCCAGAAAATCTATAAATGCAGCTATTAAATTGCAGTGTTATATAAATCTTATTCAGAGATACAAATTTATTTATACTTTTGCCAAAAATAAACAAGCTCCATTACGAAATTTTGCATTTAGGATAGTTACTTTGTCTGGGAATATGTTAAGTGAACAATTTTTTTTTCACAATTAAAAAAAAAAAAAAGAGAGAGAGATTGACTAATGACTTCTAAGCAGCTGTAATCCATGAAGATAAGTTCTGTCCAAGGCTACACACATTATCGGTAAGAAATAAAGTTTACAATTATTTACATACAAACATATTTATGCAAAGAAAAATTTAATAAATAAGAGATTAGATCGTCCTCACTTATTCTCAAATTTTACTTTATTTGGAAAAATGATTTTAGTTTTAATTACTTAATGATCAATTTAACAAGTTAGAATTATTTTGAATAATAAATTAGTGTTAAATATGTTAACAAGCTTAATCCAGAAATTGCAACTTTTCATCTGTTGATTCAGTAATGGATAGAGTAAACTGTGCATTACTCAACAGAATTCTGAAATACTCTTGAGCCCTTAGGAAATACCACAAGCTCACTATAAAAAACGTTTGTCATATTGTTATGTAACATCAAACCATCAAAGTTTTGCAATAGAACAAAAGGCTCACTGTGGAAAATATTGTGAAGCATAAATAGAGGCCACAATCATGATGAGAGAATGGCACTGTTGAAGACATATTCATTCCTCGCATTCCAATGATACTTACCTAATTGACCTAACGATTCAAGTACACTCTTTGATTTCAAGCTGTCACAGTTTCCCAGCTGGCTTCCACAAACAAGGTACAGAGACAATCGCTTTTAGTGGCAGGTATTGACTTGGAAATGCTATGTTTTTCACATGGCCAATTGCATGTAGTTTTCTCAAGAACTGGCACACTGGATAATTTGTTTATGCCGGAGCATAAACAGGCAAACGAAAAACAGTTTACCCTCGAGCTTTGCGATAAAAATAATGTTTGTTTTCTATCTACACAAAACCTCGTTTTATTTGAGCTTGGTAAAATTTTGTATAATTTGAACCAAATAAAAGGAAAATTGCTGTCGACCTGAGATTTAGAAAAAACTAGACACATTTCCTTACATAAAGCCTCTTTGCTGTGTTAATCGGCTAGCTTTAAATATGTATCAGTCTGAAAATTTAATATAGCTATCAATATATCTGAATAACAAAGTGCATCACCAGAAATATCTTGCAGGTATAACTTTAGACTTCAGATAGAAAATAAATATAAATTTGAATTTCTTTCCTTTGCAATATTATTATTGTTGTTTATGTATGTTTTGATCAATAATCAGTAAGTAAAATTTACAACCTTTTTTCAATACTTTTCATTTTGGTTATAATTTTTATAATAACCTGCACACAAAAAAATTGTTATAAAAAGAAAAAGAATCTGGCTCATCGGCTATTTTCAAATTGTGCATTTATCCCATATAGAACTTGAGCTCAAGACCATTGCTCTATAACATCTTTTGCCTAAGGCATCTAAACAAAAATTGAAATCTTTAGTCCCACCACTACATTTTACAATGATTATTTTTCAGTTTCTCAAGAGAAATATTTAAAAATATATACATTTTGCCATTAGCACAAGCTATTGGCTATTTGTATTAAATATGCACACATTAAAAAAAAAAAAAAAAGATTAAAAATTGGTTACCATTTTAATTATCAAAATTAAAGTTATAATACTTTAATTCCAAAATTTTATATGAAATTTATTTCTGAGATTTTTCTTGCAAAATTGATTTATGGACCTCTCACTTTCTTCATGCCCTTCAGGGACTTGCCAAGGAGCTGGAAAGCACTATTTTATAATTAGTGGTGCTAGTACATTGTCCTGTATCCATCACCAGTGAATCATCACTTTTCCTTTTAGTCAATCCTGGCCATTTCTCCATTTTGAAAATCTAATTTTATTTTATTATTTTTTCACAAATATTCAGATGCTCAATACGAGTTCTTCAAAAACAAACGACGATATTTTCAAATCGCATAGAAAAATAAGGAATACAAAGCAACAAGAAGACAAAATAACTGCTGTTAGAGACAGAAAATTGACGTAAAAAATTATTCTAATTGAAAACAGAGCAAGTTGAGCCTGGAATTTGTGATGATATAAAGTGAAGACATGCTAATAAATTAATCAACTCTAAAAGAATTAATGAAATACTATTATCTTTTCATAGGAACTTATTTTTATTTCCTGTTAAATGCAACATCCATTTCTATTATTCTTTTTAAAACATCATTTATGATAAATTTTGTTATGTCTGTGGCTAAAAGAACACTTGTAAAAATAGAAAAGGCAAATAAATGACTTTGAACAACGCTCAGATAGTATAAATTAGAGAGTTAGAGAAAAACTGAAATATGTCGTTGCGCTATTTAATTTTTGAATTTAATAGTTAAATATTACTTTGTTTCTTTGCATAATACTTATTTTTCTCTTGCATACCACCAGTTGAGAATTACTGCTCTATAGCAGCGGTTCTCAACCTTTTGACTAGCTCGTAGCATCTAAACAAAAATTGATAACTTTTAGTACCACCACTACATTTTACAATTATTATTTTTCAATTTTTAAATAGCAATATTTAAAAAAAAAAAACTGAAAGATTTCAGACTTTATATTACACCTAAAGGGGCGTTTTTTTAACATTTTGTGTGTAACCTTTATTAAATATGTTCTATAAACCATAAAATTTAATTCAACAGAAGTATCACAAGATATTTAAAAGAGCATATCTTTAGAATTTCCGATACACAGTCTCGTGCACCGGAGATGTTACTAGTTAAAAGTACTTTGTGTACGACCAGTTGAGAAACCCTGCTCTACTAAATTTAAGTCCAGCAACTTTGTCCCAGAAAATCATTTACCAGTTATGTGACCCTGCATTAGATCTATAAAGTTCTTACCAACAGCTTCCAGGAAAAGCCTAACACTGTACACCCACAGTGCCCATATAGAAAGTGTCAGTGGTGTGCAGTCACTCCTCTTAGGATGGAAGTATATCAGCAGCTGGGTTCTCTCCAGAGCTGGTGAGAATCACTCCATCTACCAATGCATTATCCATTATAAAAATGACTATGAGAACTCATTTTACACAAAATCGTTCAGTCTTACGATTTTTCTTGAGAAAAACACTTCTACAGACAATATCACAGAGACCAGTCATTTTAATGTTTCCTTAAAAAACATATGTTAACAATAATTATACTTACTTTTCCTAAATTATATATGACATCAGTTTTTAAAATATTAATGACAGATATTTTGAATCATTTTAAAAATTGCATAACTTTAATTCAGGACACCAGTGTACTCACAATGCATAACTGAAACTTGCATTAAATTTTTTTTAAAAATTTGAACTACCTGTTCAAAAATTTGAAACCTCTGTTTTAAGATTATGATTCAGAAGCTACAGAAAAGAATCTCGTCATGCTATAATACAATTTTTGCATGAAAGTTTCTTTGATCAAGATGAATATTTCTGTTTTGGCTTTAAAATGTTTTAATTTATTAGACCTTTCCCAGCATATTTACATTCTTTAAGTAAAGAAAATATGGTTCCCAGAATTTAATTAAGGATTCTCTGGTATATGTAATAAAATTCATACAGTTTATTAACCATAAATTCAGAATGAAGGAGACATCTCGTATGGAAAAATGTTTTTATTCAAGTACAAATATGATTGCTCTTAAATTGTTTTCTACATATTTTCAGAATTTTACTACACTCAACGAAATTTATTCAAAATTCATGTCAAAGATTAGTAGATTTTCTTTTTTTTTATTCATTCATAATGCTGCACAGTCCTATTAACAGTAAAAACACAATACTTTGTAGAAATATGAAGAAAACTTACACGGTATAACGAAAACAGAAGGTAGTTTGAATTAAAATCCATATAGATACACAATAGGGTGACAAATCAGTCACATAAAAACTAACAAATGCTAAACCACCATTCACTTTCATAATTTAAAATCTGCCAGCAGAGGCTTCTGAATGCATTATCAAAATAAAATCTAAAGAACATAAATACTGAAAGAGATTATATTTTCAATAAATTACACCTGTTACAGAAAAAATATGTAAGAAACAGTTGCCTCCTAGCCTACATAATTAGGCTATAGTTTTATTAAAGAACATTGTTATATGATACCTAGTTTTTAAATAGCAAAACAAAATAAAATTAGATAACAGAAAAATAAAACTTTTAATGTACATTTTAAAATGTTACATTTTCATTCATAAAAACTACAATTAATTTTTAACAAAAATCTGAAACAAGCAATTATTGAAACATTAATTTCAAAACCATATTTTTTAAACTTATTTTGTAGATGTATATGCAACACACATCTTTTTAACTAAAATTTTTAACTATACTTGGAGGTTTTGCTTAAAAAACAAACCATGATGAAATTATTTATTAAGATCTATGAACAATCATCAAAATTTCAGACCAATAAGTTAAACACGTACAGCCACATAACCATACTAGTGCAGAAGTTAGAATGACAAGTCTTTGTTAAAAACAATCTAATTTCTGCATCTTTTAAATTTATTGAATTGTATGCACTAGGCACAGTGCAGAATGTTGTCTTGATGCATATTTTATTAGCAATTCTGCCACCAACAGAGCCATTGAATATATAAAAGTTTGACAAAGGAACCAACATGGCAGGCATATGTTAAGAGTTGCGCAGAGTAGCAAACACCATCATGGAAAATAACAGATGCACAATTAAATACAGTCAAAAAGGAAAAATGATAGTAATTCCCAACACATTCAATGGCCCTAAAGGATCGTGATCATTGATAAGAAGTAGGTTACTTATGGAGAAATGTAGAGTAGAAGTAGTAGTTGTAAAGGGAAGAATTCCACATCATGTTTTTTGAGACAAAATCTTAGTTTTCACCTTCTTCAGAACCTTCTTCTTCTGCTTCTTCCAACCAAGTTAACCATTGGTTCACCTATAGCAACAGCAATAATGATATTTTAAGCATGCTTACAATTAAAATTATTTTACATAACATATCATATAAAATCGAACATGAAATTACAATAATTACAATAATTACTAATGCTAGTCAATTTGAAGCAAATACCAAGTTATCTACTCATGATTTACATGTTTACAGATAAACAAACAACTCAGTGAGCCCCTAAAATACTTGCAATAAGCTAAAATTTTGATAAAATGTACACATATTTTAAGTAAATAAAAAAAGACATTTAAATGCATGATTTTATTTAGAGATTAATATCAAGTAATAAAGAAAATACCTGCATTTAGTTTTAATATAAACACTTTCAGATATATATTTTATTTTACAGCAGTAACAATATTCATTTACCATAAGTCAAAATATTTAGTCAAAAAAATTTTTTTAATAAATATTCTCATTTAAAAACTACTACTGCCATTTCATAGCTGGCAAAATTAAAAAAAAAAAAATTAAATTTGCATTCAATAAATTTATTTAGTATTCTCTACAATAACTGTATGTATAATACCTTAAAAATCAAATCAAAAATTACCCCCCCCCCCCCCCCCCCCCCCCCCCTCAATACCCCCCCCCCCCCTCCCCCCCCCCCCCCCCCCCCCCCTAATTTAATAAATTTAGATTATATGCATATGTTAAAATAAATGATACATGAAAAGAATATACCATCTCACAAAGAATGGAATTTCTTTTGTAATAATAAAAAAGTGAGGAAAGAGATGACCCAGAAAGTGGGTTTAAATAACCTTTCGAAGACATAACAAAAACATTTTCCATTTACAACAGCTTTACATTTTGTTTTCACTAAATCATCAGAATTTACGTACGATTTGCAGTAAAATACATCTCTAATATATTCATTTCTATCTGCTTGTTATAGTTTAAAATGACTCTCCTGCAACTATCTAAACTAAATTAAAACTATCTAAACCTCGTAATTTTTAGATGGAAAAGTGATTACAATTCAAAATAATTATATGCAAAATACTGATAGTTAAATAGACTACTTAATTTTAGCAATGCCAATAAGTAATACAATGAATAACACACTAAGTTGGCTACTAGAAAAGTCCAAATGTTTTTAGAAACTTATATAAATCGGATTTTAAATGACAGAAGTAAATTTATTTTGTACAGAAATTATATACTACGTAGTAATTTCCAATTAACTTCTCAAATAACACTTCAACGTGAAAAGTTTCAGAAACTTGAAGCTTTTGAAACTGAAATTTTACTGACACTAATTTATTAGTTACTGTTTCTTTTAAACAATGCATCTACAAAATGATTCCCCATGCTTTTTAATGCTTTTAACACTCTCCATTAAAAAAACAATTAATATATTAATATCAGATTAACATCATTTAACACGTTAACAGCCAAATACGAGATAACTCAGTTTGCACTCTTGTCCAGGGCACCACATATGAAATAACTTACTGCAGTTAAATCATATTGCTTCCAAGATAGGAAACCTAAACTTGCTGTGGCAGTAAACACATTAATAAAATATAACAACCAAATACAAAGTAATTTCTTAAAAATTTATATACAAAAGTTGTAAACATTTTTTGAAAACAAATCTCTAAAAAATAATGGGCCTTTTTCAATTTATTAAAATACACTTAATAGCACAGAATGATCTTTCTTTTGATGAAGAAATACACTTCTCAAAATCTAGTTTAAGTTTTTATTATCATGTTTTTTTTTTTTTTTTTTTTTTTTTTTTTTTTTCAGTCTATTATGAGAAAAATGCTTTTCCTCCCACATGATGCAACATACTAGGTGCTTCCACTTACTGTCACTACAGGTCACCATGGTACCAGACTGTAGGTTCAGACATAGATGTATAACTTTCATAAAACTCAACATGAGGTTTTCATTTCTAATATCAGGAAAGATATACAAATCCAGTCTTAAAAAATTTCAATGATTCTTAATACATGAAAATGTAAGATGCTGAACAATTTAATAATATTTCTATAAAGGAAAAATATATAACCAAGAAAACTTATATGCAAGTCAACTTTAATGTTCACTCTTTTATTTATTTATTTATTGCTCTAAGAAATACTATAAAAGGGGTGGCCAAAGTGCGGCTTGCGAGCCTGATATGGCTCTCGCAGGCAATTTGTGCGGCTCGTGCATATAAAATATATGTATGAAATATGGTAAGCTAAAACTATTCAGTGTCCCAAAAGAAGTAATTAATTAGTTTAGACTCTTTTTACAAAGTTATCATTGATTTCTTTCTGTTTAAAACCTCCTACATTACTTCTATAATGATGTAAATACGAACTTGTGGCTTCCATATTTCTTTGCATATTTTTAGCCCTCCCATTTTTTAGTGACAGGTTCTGAAAATGAAAAAAAATATCCTCATAACTTTTCCTTTCTTCAACACATTCAGAGAACATGCTCCCCTAAACCTTAAAATGGATTTGTCCACCTAGTGACTGTTTTCATCTAATTAACACAAACCTCCACAAACTACCTGTGAAAGTCACACTTTTCCCTTCTAACTGTTGAACTTTCTGTTGGCTTAATAGAATCACAGCACAGCAAGCACGAATCATTACTCAAGCTATAATTTGGAAGAATCAATTGCATATTCAACCTTTTTTAATTATTTTCGGATGATTTTAGGTCTGAAGAGTAGTAGAGATAATGATGATAATGGTTGAGATTAGACTTACAAGGAAGTAGAAATGAAGATACTTTATTAGATATTGTAATGTTAATATTACTGCATATTTATACTGCAATATAGGTTTCTTTTAAAGAAATAATATTGTGATTTCTACCAGCAGTTTATCCAGGACTTTTTCTTTATTTGCTATGCATGTAAGCACATTAGCAAATAAAAAAACTCCATCCTTCGAACTGTAACTGTGTCCTTTGAACATTAAATTCACATAATTTTCCCTTCTTGATTTTCAGACAATAAAATTAGTGAAAAAAAAAAAAAAAAAAAACACTTCCTTGCTGATTCTTAAAATTATTATTTTATTTCCATATTGGTTCTTACACAGTTGAGAGATTACTCATGACAGCACATATAGCAATACTTCAACCATCCATTTAAATGCAGCATTTGTATTTTTTTTTAACACACAACTAACATTCTGTTAAGCAATTACTTACAAAGATTAATACATAAAACAAGCCCATTAAAATTATTATAACATTAACATGCTTTTAAAATAATAATAATTCAATCTCAAAATGCAGATAATAAGAATTTCACTTATTTGTTTATCCAACTACATTTTTACAAAAATATGAAAACAAACAATTTTTTCAGAAATTTTCAAGTTTTGAGACATAATGTTCATATCCACAAATTTTTACACCAAACTTTCAATACACAGTAGTTCAATCTTGTGCTTCTCTTAACTATACTATTTTATTTAATCAAGACAAATGCATCACAGTTGTAAAACTACCTGTAAATACCTGTAAAATAGTCATTTCAGTTCAGAATAAATTTTTTAACTCACCTGAAAAAGTGCCTTTCCTTTACCTGGATAGTCATCATTAACATCCTCTTTCCACTTGAGAAAAGCTTCTTCCTCGATAATTTCTTGATCATAAAACATCATAAACCATCTCAAAAGCATTCCTGCAAAAGTCCATTCAGCACTTCAGCAGATATAAAATATTCAAAATATCAACTTTTTAAAAAGTACTAGGTATTTTATTTTCAAAAGTTATCCTCAAACTAGGATACATCAAAAGAATAACTATTTAAAAGCATATTGTGGCTCATGGCAAAAATCTAATCAATAAAATAAGAAGTTTAAAAACACACTGCATAATTGATCAACTGACATACTTTAATATTTGCTTACTACTCATATGTTATGTCTTATTTTATAAGCTTAGGCCCACCAGCCAGGTAAATGATAAAGTTGCTGAGTACTGGTAATTTAACCTGGGTTCTATCCCAGGTGAACATGAATATTTTTTAGGTTATCCCCATGAGTTGGTTATGATATGAGTTGGTTTTCTTTAGAAAGTCCTCCATAAAGGCATCCCTTACCCACTTCACCATAAACAAACCAAACTTTTGAAGCTTAATTTATGTTTTAAAATCAATCAAAAATCTTCATATCTTGTCTTTTAGGATTCTTTCTATGGTTATTTGGGGTGCTGATTCAGAAAATATATAAAAGAAAACATATCAGCATTTGTTTCTTAGTTAGGGTTGAATTAATAGCAGTATAATTTGCTCTTTAAATTATCTCTCCTATTGAAAGAATCAGGATGTTATAAACTTCTTTATTAGTATTGGGGAATTTAAGTTTTTAAATTATCCTTTATTTACTTATTTTTATGCACGCATGTGCTTGTATGACTTGTATTTCAAAATTCTTACAGTCACATCAATCACTTTTCAGCGACTTTTAAGAACAAGATGAAAAACTTAAGATATAAAAACAATGGAAGTCAGATACCAACAAAGATTAGATGCACACAAGCTGACAGATTACTGTTAGAATCTTAAACAGGATTGTCTGGGCATATTGCATTCTTGGAAGCATTCCAAAGAGCTTGTTGAATTACTGGCAAATAACTTTGTATCGCATATATCAACTTTGGGTATAAAATAAGTAGATTTTCTTAACCGTTTGAGTCCCAAGCAACGTAATCACGCTGCTGAGATTTTATGTCGAGAAAACCCAGTACATTTCAACATGTATATGTATGTATATACACTTGATTTACACCGAAAGTACTCGCCTTAAAGTTTTTTTCCTGCAAGCTTGCTCCATAAATGTAGTTCTAAGCAAGTGGCCCCAAATTGCAAGCCCACAGTTTGCTTGTGACACCCAAAACAATTGCATGCAGCCTGCGAAGACATTTCAATTATCTGTTTGTTTCAAATATGATTTTGAAAAGATTTCACAGTTTCAACTATTTGAAGTCCGAGTTTATATTACTTTCATTTTCAAAGTGAACATGAATATTGCACCAGAAAAATCTATAAATAGAGCTAATTAATTTACAATGTGTTATAAATCATAATCAAAGGTTGAAGATGCAAATTTTATTAGTTTTAATTCGTACTAAGGTCAGTTATTAATTTTGCACTAAGAATAATTGTTTTGTTCGGGAATACATTTATATATGAATAACTTTATTTCACAGACAAAAATAAGAAAAGAACAGACTAACCGATAAGCAACTACAATCTAATGAAGATAATTTATAGCAATTTCTCTCCAATGTTACAAACTTTATCAGAATTATCATAGTTAAGAAATAAAGACGTTTACAATTATTTACACACAAACACATGTAGTTTTATTTGTGTGTAGAAAGAAAACAAATAATAGAAAATAAAATGTTATTGTTTTTCTCAAATTTTTACTCAATAAATTTTCTCTGAAAACTTATGTTTTCATAATTTTAGTTTAAATTATTTGATGATTAATTTAAAATGCTGGAATGATTTGAGAAAAATCTTAGTCTAAGTATTTAATATTTAGCTGCCAATATATCTGAACTGCAAAAAAAAGTCTTACAAGTGCCAAATTTTAGATTTCAGAGAGAAAATAAATATAAATTTGAATTTTTTCATTGTCATATTATTAGTATTGTTTATGTATGCTTCGATAAATATTTACTAAATCAAATTTACAATTTATTTAAAATATTTATAATTTTGATTTAAATATTCTGGTCCGTCAACTGTTTTCAGATAGTGTATTTGGCTCACATTCAATTTGAGACTACTTTTTTAAGCTATTTATGCAATAACATATCAGTCAGAAACACAAGGCTTTATACTTAATCATCTTCACAATGAGGCCACATTTCATTTTTGACTACCATAAGAAAACAGTACCTTTACACAAGACACTTAGATTTTTGCTTCAGATTGTAACTGATCAATAAACAGTAAATTTTAAATTTCTTTATATTATTGGCTACTTGTTATAAATGGACAGCATTTGAGGATCTAGAGAAGGATGCATTCATGGTAGATTTCCTAATGGAAACAGATTTATATTTTTGTAGAAAGCCATGAAAAACCCATGCAGGTGCCGTACTTTAGTGGTGCAAAGTGAATGCAATACATTAATACCTTCTAAACGGCCAAGAGTAAGAGTTATTTTACTGATTTTTTATTCCAAAATTGCCCTCCCAATTGACTCATTTTTATACTAACATAAAATCAAATTTTAAGGAGTAAAAATACAAAATAGGGAAGCTAAGGCAGTATAGTAATTTAAAAAAATATTCTTAAATATTTACCACAAAAATTACCATAATTTTTATGGAAAATATTTGCCAACTTCATATCATTTATTGAACAAAGAAAATTCAAAAATGAGAAAAAGATTTACCGCTAAAGAAATTAATAAAAAATATATATACATGGATAAGTTTACTTTAAAGTCTAAATTAATTTCAAGACTGAAAGAATTTATACTGAATGTTCAGAATTTGTTTTTTCACTTTATCAAAGTATTGCAAATTTTAAACTCAAATGTTGAATTTGTAATCATGTATAGTTACGAGTTCATTATTATCGATGAAAACAGAACTATTATAGAGCAAAGGAAGATATTGAAAATACCTTTAGGAAAGCCACAATTGTAGCAATGAACTTGTAAGGCATACAAAGCTACAAGTTGCAATTCTGGATGCTCATGCAGAAAAGCTTGAAACACCGGCTAAAATGAATTAAATAAAATCATTAGTGGTTACTTTATCAAGAAAATATATCTAAAAACAAAATAATGAACATCTCATTTAAAGAAGTATTAATATGATCACATGTAATAAAGCCTGCAGCACTATCTTTGCTTTTCCCTCATTTGATCTAAACATTAACTATTCAATTTAGTAAAATAGACTGTGGATTGCTTGCTAAAATAATTGTAAACCTTACGTTAATTCATATTTATCAAAATTTATGAAATTTATTTTAAGATCAGTATACATTTTTAACATGTTAAGTCCTGAATCTATAAAGTATCTCCTGAATTTCAGACATTTACGGTAAAAAAGTATTTAATGTAATAAAAAAGGGTTCCCCCACCCACCCATCTTCTTCTTAAGTTTATTGCTTTTAAACCAATGAATATGGACTACTAAATGTTACTGAAAATTATTTGGACATAAAATATCCCCAATAGTTTTATCACATGCTTTAAGATTGGCTTACATGGGTCCGTGACATTTAGCTGACAAGACACTTAACAAACAGGACATTTAGCCGACACGTACACTTAGCCGACAGGTCATTTATCTGACAAAGACACTTGGCTGACATGGACATTTAGCCTACAAGACATTTAACCGACAAGGACGGTTAGCCGACGCAGAGAGTTAGCTGTCAGGTTATTTAGCTGCAGGACATTTAACTGTCAAGACATTTACTTTGAAAGCAAGATTAGGAATTAAAAGATATGGTTTAAATTAGAACAAAAAATTTTTCACATTACCTTGAATTTTTCTAACATTTCTTTCTCTTTATCCAAAAGATTTTTATCTGGTACACTTGAACGATCTAATCCATCGGCTAATGTTGTCTCTTGAGTGATATATTTAATCATGCTGAACAAAACAAATCAAGAATTTAGTATTATGAAATAAAAGTAAATATTTTGCTATGTTTAATTCAAGTCTTAGAACACTATTTGCAGCTAACTGACTACAGTTGTAACCAGGGCTGTGGAGTCGGAGTCAGGTAGATTTTTGGGTAAATGGAATCGTTAAAAAACACATCGACTCCAACTCCTCTTTTTGTTGAACAGTTTGAATTTGAAATGAAATTAAAGTGAATTGAAAAAAAATGACAAATTCAGTTAATATTTTTATTTATGAACTATATAGATTAATAAATAGTTATTTTCTATTTTTATTGACATATTAGTAAATAAATATAAGGGAAGCAGGAATGGATGTGATATTTGCCATTATTGATTAAACTGATTCAATTTAGTTACTAATCTCATTGGTGAAATTGAAGGTAAGCAGCAATAGCAGCAAGAAATCTCCCAAAATTGATGCCATTCTTAGGAAGCGAGCAGGAAAAGGAGCAATTGATCAAACAATGGAGAAGTACATATTTGATGATATAAAAAAAGTGGTTGTTCAGAATTAAGAACTTTTTCAGAAGATGTAAATAACTCTAATATTTCACTAACAGAAAGACTGTGCAATGATCTTGCTGAACTGGAAATCCTTCTTTCAACACCATGTATATAGCCACAAAAAATATATATAGCCACAATATGAAGAATTAACAGGAGACGAGAATGTTAGAAGATGTAGATAACCTTAATGTTTCACTAACAGAAAGACTGTGGAATAATCTTGCAGAATTGGAAATTCTTCTTTCTCTACTGTATATAACCACCAAAAAGCTACAATCTGAAGAATTAACAAGAGGCAATACTGGAAGAATGCAATGTTTGTTCTTTCTGAAATGGAGGGTTTATTGCAGTAGGAATCATTTCTTCAATGAAGAAACGAGAAACTAGTTTGCTAGACAATAGATCTTGCTGGGTTCAATATGTGTAGATCCGAAACATTGAATTTTCTTTGATGACGAACAAATTAAAACCGCAAAGAAAGCCATCTATGAACTTTCATTGAGAATGAAATTATTCTCAGAACAATTGGAGAATTCGAATCAGAACAGTAAAACTGCAGACATTGCAAATGAGTTTCTATCACCCTCTTCCAGTGATGAATTACAGTTTGAGAAATATTTTTGGATAATATTGAAAAGGCTAAATGGATGAAAATAAAGAACCAAGAGCCTTTAGATATAAAAATGAAAAAATACAAACAAGATTTATACACGGCCTTTGAAGAAATAGATAAATACGATTGCTCTTGCAAGACACCTCTTTTACAACTTACAAAAATCTATTCTGAAAAGTTAAAGGAAGTAGCGGTAACAGTAACAGCTCTTCTACTCAAGTCAGTGTGAAAAGACTCTTCTCGATTCTGAGGTTTATCAAATCAGATCTATGGTCCTCTAACAAAGAAGATCTTGTCGAACTTTTACTGTTTCTTAGAAATTACTAATACCAGTTTTCCCATTTCATAATAAATGCTAATTACTATAAAACATTTGCTATGCATCAATTTTTATCTGTAGCATATACTTCTTTTATATTAAAAAAATAAGCTGAACCCATGTTTGTATGTTTACTTATTTATGAAGGAGTCTGAGTCATTAAAATTCCAGGAGTCTGTCATTTTCCCTATCGACTCCACAGCCCTGGTTGTAACTATAAAAAATGAAAATATTAAAATATGCAAACATATATTTTATAAACTAAAAATAATCTTAACAGTTCTACTAGTATACAAAGAAACATGCCCTCTTCCAAAAAAATAATACCTGACATTTTTTCAATCTGTATACACTTAAATGTTAACATTTTTTCAAGTCTTCATTATTATGCTATTTTGGGAAGTTTTATTAAATCTTTATTATTAAGCTACTCAGCTCCTATCCAGGAGTTAACTGATTAAATAATTTTAAAAAATCAAAACTTAAGGCTGGCTTATTTTTATAAAATCGCAATTTCTTTAGCTCTTTCATAGATGTTTTTGAACTTGCACAATTCTTGCTAGACGAATGTTTTGGAGGATTTTTGATCTCTCAAATCATTCTCATTGAAGGAATCAAAAATGTCAAGCTTTTGCACATTTTATTATTTATATTATTTTAAATGATATGCTACATCACATATACTAAAAGAATTCATACTTAAGATCTTTCAAAGCTGACTGACTTGCACATTTTCTTTATTTAACCGCCTGGGATGTAACACTGGCTTGGTGTCTTATGACAGTAGCAATCTGGGGGGGGATAATTTGAACTTGGTAGTTTCAGAACACAAGTGAAGATTGTCCATATGGTCGAGCCAAGGAGGATTATTTAAGTCCTTGAACTGCGGTCCCTGGTAGATCAGTCAGTCTGGGTATTCTAGGTAATGTCTACTGGTGACATACAGCTGCCTAGTACTGGTGGGGCATTATCAACGGCCAGTCAGATTGCCAAGTGGATAACGATGTCCGTAGCGAGCCTCCCTCCGGGGCGGTCTCTGAGACAGTAGAGCCTGGTAGCCCATTTCTGCCCTGGGGGGAGATGAGAGAGCTCTTTTTAAAAAGTCTATGTAGAGATTTGAAGCATCTGCTGAATAGCATAACGTATTTGTTATTTTCTCCTCAAAGGTGTCAGTGGACATGACCAGATCTTCTGCCTAATACAGACTTGTTTCAGGGGTGTCACCTTGGTAGCATTACGTTGCAAGAAAGGTGAGCTAAATATTGATCGACTGATTATTTACACATGGGAATATATATTGTATCTATCAATTTGGCAACTCTCCTAGAATGCACATATGATATTATTACATTCATGGAGAGCTAAAAGATCAGACAATAGTATGACATGGATACGAGCTCATGCAGTTGTAAACTGCAGTGGCAGAAGTCATTATTCAAACAGGCTCTATCACAGGCAGTCAGCAAGTACTGTGTTACAACAATGAAGATATCAGAATTTGTAGGTAAGACAGCTTAGTGGATAAAATTTGTTATCCAACAGGATAATGCCATGGTAAGCACAAGTATGGCCTACATTTCAAAATTTCTTGACACACATTTCCAAATTGTCTAACTATCATTTCAATGCCTTTAACAATGCATATAAGTAGATACAGGATAGCTAAACAGCCTTATTTTCTAAATTCATTGATGTCTATATAATAAACTGCATTACATGCCTAAGTATACACTACTATTTCACAACTCCGTAAAGTTACTAAATAATAGTTAGTTAAAATTAGTAGATATAATATACGCTACCCTATCTAATACTTTTCACAATCCTCATGAAGTTTCGCATTAAAAATTGTTATCAAGAAAAGTGATATAATAATTTAAAGAATTACCATGACACCAGTGCACTGACAAAACCTGGCACAGTATGTTGAGAGACATCAATAGTTTCTTTAATCCACCTATACAAAGAGGTAGGACTAGGATCTGTTTGGAGCTGTTTCCACAGATCTGCTTGTATACGGAGCAATGGGAATAAGAAACTTAATCCTCTGTCCTCTAAGATATCTGCTAATCTTTCCTTAGTTCGATCAATTTCTGAAAATATTTGTAAAAATACTTGTATATTAGGAAAAAAAGCAATTAAAAATTTATAGAAAATATACATATCCATATTTAGTTAAAAAAATTAATACTTAACTAACTTTTAAAGGCAAACACTTGAATACAGTGCAACATTTTGATTAAAAACCTGACTTATTATATAATTAATAACTTCTACATAAAATTAAATGAATGAAAAATATGAACTAACTTAACCCCTTCGCGCCGGGTACCGCATACGCGCGCATATCGCGGAGGCCGGCAGTGTCTTACGCGAGCGTCTGTCCAGGGCTGGGGGCTTTTTTGCTACTAAGCCTAAATCCATGAAATTTCCGAAGTATCAACGCATTGTTTAATAATGCTCTATAGAGTATTTAAACGGCTTATGCTTTATAGATATTTTTATATATACTTTAATTACCTTATTTCTTGTTTAACATTTTTTACAATTTTATTTTCATTTTTACTCACCATTTTAATTACTTGTACATTATAACATCTGAAAATTAAATATATTACTTAAAATTCTCTTTTCGTATGAAAAATTTGAAAGCAGGGATCTACACACAGTCCTACGTTACATTCCTTGCACTCGTAATAACACATTTGCCGTTTTGGAGGTTTTTTCTGGGAATGTGGACAAACGAAGCATCGTCATCTCATTTTCTTATCAGTCTCTTCTGAACAAAATTGATCTGTTTCAGAATCAATATCTGAAATATTTTGCATCATTTCTGCTATTTCATGCTCTGTTAAACATTTCCGACACTTCGACATTGCAATGGTAAAAACAGAAAGAATTCACGTCTAAGAAGATCCAATTATTTTCTAAAAACTGAACTGCAAACCGAAATACCTAACGCTTTAGCGAAAATAAAACTTCTCTATTTACAATACACAACTACCATGTGCGAATTTAAAGAGACGGAAAAATTAGCAATGCCCTCGTCGGTACTCGAACCTGTAACTCTCGAGTAGACTATGGATTAGGGACTCAGTTGCCAAATCCTGGTGGTGAAGAATCATCATCCCCCACCTTTTAATTCGGTCGTCATTGTAAAGTCATTTGGATTTTTTTTTATACTGGAGACGTGAAAAATGAGCAATGCTCTCGCCAGGATTCGAACCTGGAACTCTGAAATACGCGTCGAGTGTGCTAACCGTTACACCATGAAGGCATGCAGAACAGAGGGAGAAAACTAATTCATATCAGTTCAAAACAAAGGCAAAACTCTGCAAATTTTTTATTTAGTATAACATATAATTTATAATTAAAAATAAAAATTACAAATCATAAGAAAATGATATTAAACTTTATTTACTGACTTAAAATTGTTGACTCTTTTTGTTAAAGATTTATAACTCTTTTTAATCACGCAATTAACTCTTTTTAATCACGCCATTCGGAAACATTTATTTCCCCTTTTGTTTATATAATCAAAAGCACGTGTATGTGAGTCATGCTTCTCTCATTTTGAGTAGAAGGTCTAATGTACATGTATCTGAAACCATATAAACATACAGTGCCATCTTGTGGCAGAAATTATAGTTTTTAAAACGTTCCAGGACACTGGCACAAATACGTGACAGTCGGGGCTGAACGGGAAAATGCTCTGGCACGCCTGCGTGTCGGCCGGGAAGTGAGTGTGTTCGTTGCTGGCACGTAGACATGACAGTCGGCGCGAAGGGGTTAATACATTTTTAAGTTCATAATGAAGAAAAAAATGTTATTTAGTTATCTTTTCAGTATAAAGTTATGCTAAAGATCCTTTAGAGTTTGAACTGCTGAATTTTAATTCAAAATTATTAGTGTTGTTACACAAAAAACTGAAGAAAAGAAGAAAAGAAGCATGCATAAATGGAAAAAATCCCCCATAAAGGGAAATTTTGGCAAATGACTACATGTACATTTCATTAAGCACTAAGGCAAACTTTTTTAAAGCAATGCACCATACCGAGCAGTTGTAGCATTTCTACTCCTTCATACACTTCCCAAACAATTTATTTTAAATTATCAGTTTTCTCAGCTCTCATATTACTATCATAACATACGATTGGTTAACTTTTAATGGCACAAAACCTTGAAGGTTATTGAAGGTTAACCTTGAAGGTTGGCTGATTAGAGAGAACAAGTCTTTTGGCTTATGTAAATGATATCTTTTGTGCAACTTTGATGCTTTGAATTTGTTTTTCTGTCTGCCATTTCGGACATCACCTTGAAAAAGATGGGTGCTCGCCTTTACAATTTATACATAAGGGGGCAGCAGAGCAGCCTTCACTAATATGGCCTACAACAGAACATCGAGCGCACATGAGGCTACCGTGACACAAGAAGTCTTTCCATGTCCAAAGTGCTGACACTGAAAGGAACGCGTTGGATTCGGTATATGCGTTGAACAGTTATGTCCTGACTGAACAGTTTAGGTATCCAGCTTTGAGGTTTTTAGGCAGGTTAAGAGACTTGAAAGTAAGTATGACATGTTTAGTGGGAATGAGTTGACCTCCTTTCCATATTCTGATCCTACGAGCACCAAACACGTTTTGATCTGCCAACGGTTTAACAAATTTCTCTTCAGTTACTGACAATAAGTCTATTTCAGAGATTACCCCTCGGGACAAATTTAGAGTGTTATGTGGCTTAACTGCAATATTTGCTTGTCCTAATTTAGTTGGTTTCAAAAGACTATTAGTCTGCTTTCCGGATACAGTTTCTATCAAAAGGTCTCCAGACCGAAGTCTATTAATATTTTTCAGTTCTCCTATAGAAGACAAAAGATGTTTGTTTTTTAGAAAAGGTGACATTTTTTTTCAATTCTTCAGAGCTGGTTATAATTAAGAAACGTGGACAAAAAACATCCGATACAGTGTGTCGCTTCTTAGTCTTTTGGTCACAGTCAGAATATCGGGTACATTGTTGGAGCAGGAAGGTATCATAGCATTCATATTTAATCCTCTAAGCAGCAAGGCCGTATATATATATGGCTTAGAATATTTTTTGTGATATCTGTAAGAACATATATATACGTGCATATTGAAATATGTCAAAAAAATTAACATATCAAAAGAAAACAAATCCAGGTATGAAATACCAGGAGAGTTTTTACATTAAAATCAAAAAATAACTTGTTCAAATAGCAGTTTTGAAAATTTTGTGCTCTCTTAGCAAAAATCCTGGCCGCTCAGAGGGTTAAATGGAGGAAGATTCAGGTCCGACCGCCCCACCCACCATGGAGCTCAACAAGGGAATGCAGATTCCTACGCCAGGGCTAGCCGGAACTATACACAAACTGAAATCCGACAGTTGGCTTTCCTAAAAGCAGGTACTCCCGAGAGCTTGTCCCCAAGCCACTGACATGACTAGTGGCCAGCCGATTGACTCCTACAGTTTAACTGAAGCAGAGGTCAAAGCAGTGTCTTGGGGACAGTACCTCGCCCCTCAACTACCTGGACTCTCCTTTCCAGTATCATGAGTCTCCACGCACGGCAAACATGTGGGCAGTTTTCTCATCACTCGAACTAGGGATAAGGTTGTTCCAGTTTCTTATGACGAGCCCAAACCTCAGAAGAGGAAACCACAAGGGAGAAGGAAAACGAGAAAAGTTGCAATTAAGAGGAGAAGAGGCAGAAAGGAGGAGAGATCACTGGGGCACCAGGATTGTGACACCCGATTCCCAAGACGGTAATCTCCTGAAGGATTACTTCATATGAGGAGACACAAAAACTACTCATAAAATAATGCATACTTCATACCAAAATTATTAATAATTAGAGGAAAATTAAATTTTATTTACTTATTTAAGATTTGAATGTATTTATTTGCAAGAATTTGGCCTTGAAAAAAACAACTGTTTACAGTATATGATATGCAAACTATACTACATATAGACTTTACTAAATAAAGGAGGTGTAAACTGTTAACAAATAAAGAATTACCAAGACTACAAAGTTCATTAATTAGAAATTAGTTCATTAAATCAAACAATATAATCATTGCTTCTCAACTTTCAGCATATGGGAATTTTTCTACAGCATCCTAAGTCAAAACATAGGCCTAACAGTTAAAGTACCCAATAACTTTAACTAGACTATATTTAAAAATAAACATACATTTCAACTTCAGAAGCAATTTGTTGAAAATGTACTAAATAAGCACACATATTTTGGGCTATTACAATATTGAATAAATGAACCAGTGAGAAGGGTTAGCCTTTTTTTCACTGCATGTTTTTAAATCTTAAAAGCAAATTGGCCATAGCAGTCTTATTTCATGTTCCACATTTTTTTCTGACATTTCCTTTTATTATGACAACCACTTATAAGTGAGAAATATTTTCTTGATTATAATTTTAAAATGACTCTCCAAATCTGTAACTCTTTATGTAGCTTTAATTGCTTGGACATATTTCAGGATGTATGTCTTTGGACTCTTGACTGTCTTGCTGAAAGACAGCGCAATAATATTTCTTTTTACAGAAGTAAATTCAGACGGAGTTCGAGTTCTGAAGGGACTTTGAACGCATGCAAACTTATCAATACTTTTAATAAATTGATAAATTCATAAGGGCTTTATAAAAATGGCAATTGTACAGGATCTGCTAGTTGTTCTTTTTAAAAGAGCACAATAAATACGTGGACAGTTTCTTTTATATTAAAATGGTGGTATATTTTGTGGCATCCCTATAAAGTCACCTCCAGTAACACGGTGAGCAGTTTATGAACATTGATACATAATTGGTTCATTAACAAAAATTAAAAACCAATCATATAATTTGGTTTATGCTTTCTTTCCTTTTGCATGGTGATGAACTATCAAATGAAAATATGAAACAGCCAGCTCAATAACCCTTTAAAGATGACAGAGAAGCTGGAAACTGTTCATGCATCAGCTATGAAATCAGTGCAGCAGGTTCTGGCTCATACTATTATGGAATGTAAGAATTTCTAGAGTGATATCCTCAACTGGCAGTATAGCTTAACTGTTTTCAATTTTTTGGAGTGCCAAAGCTATCTGTTAATTTTGCGTAATACTATTAATTTATGCATTAAACATTTTTCAAATAAGTAAATTTTCAGGGAATAAAATATTTTTCAAGTAATTTGTGCTGATAACTGAAAATTTTGGAAAAGAAACGAATATATTTTAATATGTTCCTTTAAATGTTTTTGCATCAACAGCTTCATTATTATTATATAAATTTTCCCAAAATATAAAATAACTGATGTGACTGCTCTTTAGGAAAGCTGGTCTCCACAGGTAAAATTTTTAGTAAATTTAGATGCCTGCATATTCAAAATTACAAATGCTTGTGGAAGTAAATGTAATTTAATGATGTAGCTAAACTGAAAATAAATACCTGGTAGCATTGAGAGTAAGTTGATCTTGCTTTGATTAAATGCAGAATGCAACCAGTTTCGACCTTGAGATTTGTGCAACTGTTGTAAACAAAGCAGAAACAGAGGATAGTGGGCTCCTGACTCTAGTGGTTCTGCAACTTGAGTAAGACTAACAAGGTCACTTGCAATACTCCTTGCTGCAAAACCTGCTACGTGTGATTTTACACGAGGGATTTCAACTTCCAGTTCAGAAATTTGTTGAAAAATACTTTTCAATGCCTGAATTAAAAAATTAATGAAATTCTGTGATACTGATATATTGTACAAACATAAAATACTTTAAATAAACATAATAACTTTTAAGAACATAAACTTTAATCCATCTACAAAATACACTCTTTGGGGGGGGGAGATTGGAAAAGCAAAGTTCAACTCAATCTAGACCTTATTTTATAATTTTAAATTTTTAAATAGACAGCTATCAATATATCAAAACTGCTTCTTAATTTACATAATGAAATAAAGTAAAGGATAATTTTCCTACATTTGCCTGCCTTCCAGGAAACATTCCAAATTGGTTACGGTGAAAAAAACACAGAAATTTAAATATGAATACACAAAACAAGCTATTTTTTATTGTCATAGTTATTTGGGGAGTACTCAGTTGTTATTTACTAAAACGACAAAAAACGGTATATTCGAAGCAGAAGAGATACACGGCAAAGTAAAACATAAAATTAGCAAAGCAATAATATTGTGTTTGGCATAGATTTTATCAATTTCAAGGGCAAACAGGTAAAAGTCCCTCTTCATCACTGGCAAAGAAATTTGCAAACACAAGGTTGTTGCTTTGCTAATTTGAACAGTACACTGTTAGACATGCACTGTTAGTTCGCAAAAATCAGCTATATGTATATATGCAAGCCAAATAAGAGAAAGCAACAGAAACTCCAAGCTAAAAATACCTTAAAAACCAGTAGCTTTGGCATGCGATCAAAGGCTTTAAGTGCCTACAATCAACAGCATTTCAATTTGGTTACCGGCTAAACTAATTCTCAACTAAATAAAAGTCTAAATTTATGCTCCCACCTAATAAGATTGTGTTAAGAAGAAAACACCATTAGAATGGCTTAGGAAAGCACGAGATAAGCTGAAAATGTTTTCTGGAAATTTCTAAGAAGTAAAATACATAGGCGAGAAATCTCTAAATATCTTTAACTTAGCAACAAATTTTTGTTGCCAAGGCCTGGTAGACTGCAAGCACATAACTTTTTTGATTCTCCTCAAGCTACTTTTACAGTTCCAAATACATAAAATATATAGCAATCATAAAACTATATAGCATTTAAACATATATAAATACAGTAAGTAATAGCAAATTCAAAAATTATACAAAATACACAATAAACGATTTGAAATCAAAATAAAATGAGGCATAAATGCATCAAAATAAATAAAAACAAATATACATAACAGAACATAGATGAAAACAATGAAGAACAAAATATAAACAAATAAGCAGAAGTAATTACATTAACTTCAATAATACTAACCTCCATTACTTGATATCCATTTAGTAATCCCTCTTTTTTTAGTTCACTAAGAAGTTGACTCAAGAGTTCACGATCGCTCTCATTTTTCTCAATCGTCAACTTCATCATCATCAATAAAACTTCACTCACATACCTGTTAATAATATTTATTTCAATATGGAAAATAGATTTATATCTACAGAATTTTCTTCACTAAATTAAATTACAAAATTTAAAGTTAAAGAATATAATTTTCAGAGAATAAGTGAATCTGATAAAACACTTCAGATGTTTAAAAAAATTTGCATTTGATAAAATGATACTAGTCTATCTATGACTCGAGTCAAAATAAAAAATAAACAAATAAGAAGAGATGATGTTTCTGAAAAATGCAGGTCAAAAAAATTTATACTAATGATTACTGTTTTTAAGATAAGACAAATCAAATCATAAAACATAATAAAGTACTGTGAATTACACTTAATAGTTTTATAAACAGTACATTAAAGACCAAATAATGATGCTAAAGTTTAAAAAAGTTTGCCAATTCTTTCAACAAGAACATAAAATCAAAAACAATCCAGCTTATTGGTTGCCAGTTTTGGATAATTACATGCTGATGCCTGACTGTTTTGCAAAGTTGATTTTTTATAAATGGTAAAACGTTGTAGAAGTAACCAGTCGCATATTCATCATATCTTCTATGATTTGTTTTTGAATATTACTTTAGCATGTATCTGTTCAGGAATGATTTTGATTTTGTGAAGAACTGCTCAATACTAATAGTTCTGAAACCTATATTTAAAGAGAAATTTGAGAAAAAAGGGAGAAAGAAATGAAAAAGAATGTTAACCATTTTAGGTACATCCATAAAATTCAGAATAAGATGAAAAAACGAATAAAACCTACCATATAACGTAACTACAGTATTACTTTTAAAAACTTTTAAAAAGTACTTACTTTTTAGGCATCTTAATATCTTTGAAAGCTTTGACAGCAGTATCTACATTCTGAGTTTTTATAAATTCTGTCAACAGGTCCTCCTAAATATCATATTTTATAAAGTAAATACAAGAAAATTAAAATAACTATATTAAAACTGTTATATATTACTATTTCCCACAATAAAAACTAAAACACATGTCATAAGAGATAGCTGAATCACATATCAATTTAACACTTGATAACTTATGCATTTGCTACATAACAGTAGATGCTGCTTAATGCGATCACAGTCAATGTTATCATTCGGATACTGTTATCGAAATGCCCAAATCCTGCCTATTTGTATATGACAACAAGGAAAATACATTGCTTATTGTGATCAACAATTCCATTCATGTAATTATAGAAAGTAAAAATTTATTTTAAAAAGGGGCGAATCGCCGAAGAATGTCACCAAGTAAGAGACTGAGTCTATGAATTGCTTGGTTTTCATTTTAGTCAACCATTTAAAATTATAAGAATTTATTTTAGTCGAGCGTTTAAAATTAAGCAAACAAGCAACCTTTTGCATTTTTTTATGCAGATTTTTAACAACTCTGTTGATTTCTAAAATGATCAAACATCATAAATTTTCTGAATGTAAAAATGAAATCAGTGAATTTCCTCTAAATGCTGATGCAAAGAACACCCTCCAAGTATCATTAGGGGAGGATAATTAGGGGTACAACATTGGTAAATGATTTCTCGAAACATTAGATACAGTGCATAAATAAATTTTTTCACAACACCTGCAGACATTCCACTAGTAATGACTTTGTACTTAAAACGCTGGAAGTACTTATATGTTTCTACTTATATTAAATTAGTTAAACCCATCGCTGATCTGAAGCATATTTTTTCCTATTATTTAATGCTATCAAAATAGCCGTGGGTAAATTTGATCACATTAAGCACCACCTACTCCAATTCTCTAGAGTTTCAATATTTCACTTCCAATATAATTTTTACAAGATATTCCATTAAGTCCATACTAGGTAAACAATTTATATTAGTTACTTTGAGATAAAATAATTTTCTTATTATTTTAGATAAAAAAATTCAAACTATAAACATTCTTTTGTTACAGCCTAGCTTTTAGCTCTTCATCTTTTCACTCCTCTTTCATTCATCATTATAGAAATTTATGAATTTTGGAATATTTCAATTCCAGGCAATATATTAGACATTTCTTAAACATTAAATGAAACGATTCTAAATAATCCTAAATTCATCTAATGTCTTATTCACAAGAAAATTCCGAAATTCTACAAAACACAATAAATTACAGGATTTTGGACCCCCCCCAAAATGCTACATATTAAAATTTTAATTTAAATTCAAACTACAATACTTACACTTTTTTTCATTACTTCTTCTTTAGATGGTACTTGTTTGTTAGCTTTGTTTTTGTCTTGTGTAACTTGTTTCACAATAACAGGAGGCTAAAAACGTAACATATCAGTATTTATAAGATAAAGAGATGCACAAAGGTACTTTTAATGTAATTCCTACACACTTAAACATCTAGAAAGATACATACATACATTTCTTTTACATTAAAAATTATAAAATTTGCATCTAATATCAAAATAAGAGCTATAGTAATTATTTAAAAAACTTTTTTAAAAAAAAATACCTGCTATTTATATATATCTAGGATTTTAGATGATAAACGGTACTTAGGCGTTAACCAATCAACTATGAAACTATCCATAAGCAGCATGATTTTTAGAGAAATTGTGAATAAGTTTGATGTAGCAATACATTCATAAAATCAGCACATTCATTTGACGTAACCTCAGTTGATTCTCAATAAACCACATATCACTTTTTATGAACAAAGGTATAAATTAACTGCTACTGCTGTATTTGCAATTTGAAAATATGTACTAAAATTACGGATTTGCCTTCTACAGAGCAACAAGCAGTGGATTATTTTCAAACTTATGCGATCATTCCATTAAAAAACTGTGTGTTAATGAACACGATATGGTAAACAAAAAGTGAATAGATTGGTGCAAGTGAAAAAACAAAGCAGACTGATTACTGATTGCTTTTTAAATAAGGAGGCATCAGTTCCTTCAGAATTCCACAAGAACAATCAGTGCAATTTGAGTGGGATATCTGGCAACTTTCTCAGTTGATGGGATAATAAGTGATGATAAAGCAATATAAAACAAATTAGAATCTAACCTCCTAATAATGTTTTGCATTTGACTTGAATAAAATAGAGCAAATATAAGTAAACACATGTACACGTAGCTGACAATTTAAAAAACATTTAAAAACTATTGTCAAAACCTATCACATTAAACTTTATTTTATTCATAGGAAAAGATGTAGTGAGAGCTATTTTGAGATGACCATTAATTAGCTTTATAAATATCCTAAAACTCAGTACTATCAGTCAATGAGTTTTTCACACTGATCAATCTAAATTTGAAGTTATGAAACAATAAACTTTTATTTTTAAATTTCAAAAACTTTAGACATTTAATCACAGTTACTGATTTTGTAGGCTAATTTTTTTAAAAATGGAAATCATACATTAAGTACACTATTGTGATTTTGAAGTTTTATGAGATTCGATAATAAAATACATACCACTGTGATATTTTATATGAATAATGCACAGCAACTGATAATAACAAACTAATAAACTAATAATCCCAACACGGTAAACAAATCAATGAAATTATGGACACATGTTACCCTGTAAGTGGCAAAATATCAGGCAGAAAATTACATCTATAATATGCAACTTTATTCTTTAAAGAGCAGTCTACAGTACATATGTAATATAATATTAACAGTGAAAGCTGGCACCACTGAACCATGAAAGCTTTGTACAAAACTGTTCCTGTGGAATTCTGAAGTGAAACCTCTTTATTTAATAAACAATCGAGAATAACTTAACTTTTGCCAGGCCATTCTTATTTTATCTCTTAACTTCTGCCCAGTCATTCTTATCTTATCTCGTTCATTTGCTCTTAAAGCAACTGAGGAAGATGGTTCTATAGTTAAACCATTGAAAATAGTTCTGCAAAATTTAGAAATATTACGCTGATTCTTGTTGTACGACTTCTACAATAAACAAAAGTATTTGTCCTGCTTTGTAAAAAGATTTTTCGATTTCTGTAATTCTGCTAGGTCTTCTGATTTCACTGGAAGCTCTTTTTAGAATGCTATGAGTACAAACTTTCTGAAGATAACTGTTTTAATCCATTACTGTTTTGTTGGCCATATTCAGTTGATATTATCATATCCATTAACACACACTTTTTTAATGGCAAGGTGGCAAGTAGTGGATTGAAAATAATCCACTAATTCCCACCAATGTTTCCCAAATTTAAACATCTGTGCACCCCTTTTGTAATTTTTGTGATATTGAATACACATCATAAAAAATTGCATATACTTTAATAACAATAAAAATACTTATTTTTTTTTTCCTTTTTAGTATATAAACAAAATAATAAGTGAAAAATAAAATTCATTCATAATAAAATACAAATGAAATAAATAAAAGTTATAAATAACATTCATTATAATCAATGAGAAGGATGAAATAGTTTATGTCAAGACAACAGACCATCACAATTAGGTCATTTGGTTGCTGAGATACAGTTCCACACTCAAAAGCCTGTTCCCTTTTTTTTGATTTAATGTCCACAATGATGAAAACACAACTTTACATATATGAAGTATACGAAGATATACTTTACATAGATATGAAGGTAAAAAAGGTATGATGTATTTTAGGATTTTCTGTTAAAATTTGATACGCATGTTGAATTTGCAACCAGATTATTAAAGTACGCTTCTCAGGTTTATTTTTTAAGAATTTGTCTGAAAATAATTCCAACAACTGCTCCTCTGCATGCAACAAACCTTCTGGCATGGATGTTGCATTCATATTAAATGGCTATCTTAGTCATTCAATATTTTTCTTTAAATCAGAAAAATGATTTTTTTATGCCCACTTGTAAATTCTTTAAATACTGTGTTACACATTTCATCGTATCAGCATTAATTTTAATAGCTGAACTTTTTATAAACTCATAAAGAAAAGACGAAAAGTCCACTTCTCCATTACCAACTTTCTTTTGCCACAAATTAAATTTTCCCATAGTAGCGCTCATTTTATCCTCAGGATGAAACAATGAAATTTCTTTTGCCTTACAAAGATAAGTTGAAACAATTAAAAACAGAATGTATATCTGCTAAGCAAATTTATAAAGCCACTTCCAGTAATATTAACAGTTTCTCAACTTTAATTCATCATAAAGAAAAACTAAGTTCAAATAATCAGTTTAAATATCTTCCCTTGAGATAGCTAATGAACAATGGTATGCAAAAGAAAGTGAGTACAACTACTTCCCACACACAGAATTAGAGCACCAGGCGATGCCATAGCCACAAACACAAAATTTCTATGAAGAATTACGTGTAGTAGCAATTGTTTGCCAATGTTGCAGTCCTTTGTCTTTTCTCTCTCCCTCTTCTCTTTTCTTCTTCAAGACAGCAACCCTTGTCTGCGCTTTCTTGCATTTGTTTTTTCAGATGTATGTGTTTTTATTGGTTAATTTAGTTTCCAAATGGCTCTTCAACTCAGAAATTCTGGTTTCAGGTTCGCCATGCCCATCTTTTAGATGCTTTGAATGCTGCCGTTTTATTTATCCACTGTCGATATTCACAGTAATAATGAATGTAAGGTTTTTTTACGATTTCTTGTTTTTATGGTTCTGGTTTTCCATCATTTCATTGTTTTTGCTTCAGCCATGCATATTTACCCAATGTTCTCAGTCCAGCATAGACCCCTCCCACACACACTATGGAAAACACTGTTGTAAAAGGCAAGTCCTAAATTTCATTATTTTTTAAAATTTAATTTATATATTTATTCATAAAAACTAAAGGTGGCTATATCAAGAATCCATCAGAATTGCTTTGAGTGTGTTGTTACATTATGCTGATCCATAATTGATGTTAAACTGTGCAGCTTAGCGAGAGTTTCATGGTCAAGGGGAAAATACATAAGCATGCAATTCACTAACAATTACAAACACAGTTAAAACTTTCAAAATAATTGCTGCATCATAAAGGGAGATGAGGAAAGAAACAATGCAACTACAAGTATCAAAAGTAGGAAAACAAATTAACTTTTCTTTTTATTTTGGGGAGAACATTAAGTATGCTAAAAAAAAGTTCCAAATGTAGCAAACAAATATACAAGCAGAAAATTCCTAATCATCATGATATAAAGATGTTTACATACTTCTTTCTGCAGAACCGGATTAGGTGGAACAGTTGGAATGATGGGAGAACTTTCCCGCAGTAGAGAATTATTTGTTCCACTAATGGCAGTGATAGGTGAACTAGACTTAGTAAATGAAGTTTGTTTATTCTTCACCATCATGGAATTTTGTGCTGGACGTAAACTTATCTAAATAAAAAGAGAAACAATATGTAATAAAAATTCATTATTTTAAAATTTTCTACGTTTAAAATTTGATCAAGTGTATTAATGACATTATAGTAACAATACAACATTTTTATAAGTCATTTAAATCAAATTTCTGCAAAATAACATTTTCTCCACATTTCACTACAACATAAAGAGGACACATATTAAACAGCACACACACATAATCCTATGAAATAAGGATATAAATTAAATAACATCATTCCCTTCCAAGAATAGATTATTAAATACACATTCTTAGGCTGCTATCACACATCCTTTTGTTTCGGAATAACAACTGCTTCGAAAAATGTTTCTGCTTTGTCACAACAGCAAATCACTACCAAAGCTTTGGGGTCAACACAGGGGAAACTGTTTCGCCATTACAAACTGATACCTGATTGGTTGAAAATGAACAACTTGCAATTTTTTTCCAAAAGGAAGGGGAAAAAAAAGTGCGTCTTTCTTTCAATAATAAACAAAGCAGAAAAATTGTCCAAAACAGTTGTTCATGTGAAACAAATATGTATTTATGTGAAACAAATATGTATGTGATATGGGCCTTAGGAGCTCATGTCTAGATCAGGGGTATATTACTCTAGGGCAGGGGTCTCCCACTTTTTTGTCCCAAAGAGCACATTCTAGAATACCTGTTGGATGGCGGGCACCATTTATTTTTTCAAGGTGATTTAATAGTTGGATAAAGAGGAGTCAAGGTTAATATATAGTTGGATAGATACATGCACATAAAAAAGAGATCAGTCACATTTTGCTTTGTGCTAGTATGTGTGTTGGACACAATTTCTACTTCATTAAATGGGAAAACTTTCACATAGAATTTTACTGAAAACTCATTTTCAATGTGATCACACGGTAATGGGCCCACGTTAAAACGATCGGTGGACACCATCATGTCCGTGGGCATAGGGTTGGAAAAACCTGCTCTAAGCATTCGGATCATAATATGTCTGGCAATAAATCTCTACCCATATCACATTTCCTGCGGGCAGGATCAGGCAGCATGCAAATAAATTTTTTTATCAATTTCCATTACACCACACAATGTGCACATATTGCTGTCATATTTCAAATGATGGTGTGTGCAAGAGATACTAACAAACACTGCATAAATAACACTGTGAAAGGAAACGGTTTAAAAGAATATTGCCAAATCATATTTACTTTTAAAAAAGCACCTAACACATACACCACTATAAACCAAAAAAAAAAAAAAAAAAATGCACATTATTAAACAGATGTTAAAATTAAATATGCTGAAATTCAAATGTATTACATACAAATTTATTAATTAAATAAATTTAATTAACTGATCTTTCTTACTGGAACATAAAAACCTGCCTACTATATAATTTAACTTAATACAATTTTCATTATAAATAAACTTCAACATTTGATTTTTTTCTCACAGTAGAAGTTTGAAATTTAATTCAATGTATTAAAATTTAATTACACTTATTAATGTCATTTACATTTTGCACTCAGATTTAAGCAAAATTTATTTTAAATCTCATTATGACAAATTAATTTTAACTAGCTGAAACTACATTTCCTAGAAAAAATAACTTTTGTCCTTTCTAGTTGAAAAAGAATGCAGTTTTATTTGTTAATAAATGACAGCATCTCCACCATTAAATATGTTATGATTATTTTAAAATACCTACAAATTAGTAAAGTACTAATTTTAGAATAATCTGATTTCGGACTCTTCCTCAAACTTCCAAATTTCTAATTTGATTCAGCTTATTAATTTTTGCAGGCAGTTATTACTACAGCATGAAAATTGGAACTTTTGATTATATCGAAGAGAAAGAGTTGAGAATCTCTAATTCTACATATGTAGCAGAATTCTGTAAAAGAAAACCATATTTGGTTGTCGCCTTCTATAGTGGCTTTGGCAAAAGAAAACGTTATTGCACATAAGTAAGAAAGTAAGAAAGTGCGATTTAAAAAAAAATAATAATTTAATTAGGGCATAAATTTTGAACAATACAGAAGGGAAAATTTTTGCAATTAATGGAGTTTTTTAAGAAATGTAGAAAGGTGATAAAAAAAAGACAATGATATAACAGCAGTTTCCCAATGAGATATTAATGCCCGAATCAGCAATTAAGTATCATTCAAGGAAATCTGTAGTATGGTTTCAAATATAGACAATATTGCTGCTGAGAGTAAAGAAATAATAATAATAATAAAAAAAAACTGTTAGAATGCAAAGACAATTTAGCGAAAATTCTTACCACATCAACTGCATATCTCAAACGATGGAACTGTGTAATTGAACAAGAAAATAAAAGTAATATGCAAAAAAAAAAAAAAAGTATTAGCACAGAAAAATTTTGATTCCCTTAAGCTAATAAATACTTTGTTATTTTATACTTTTATTTCCATGTATCACCTTAAAAGATTTAGATGGAAATTGCTAAAATCCAGCGATTCCAGATCTCAGACATTGTATCGTATTACACTGCATATAATACAATGATAATCACAGTTTATTCGAAATGCTCTCAGATCAATGTGAATCCACCATCATTTCTTGCAATCACAACCTTCACTTTTCAAAGACTTTACATTAAATTTCTGCAAATGATTTGGTCTAATGTGCGACTAAAGTTCCAACACACCTTAAACAAGCTAAATTGGGACCCACGGTTTCTCAGTTGATTTCATTCACTATAATTTCTTAAGCCATTATATTTACCTTTCAAAAGGGTGTTTATCATCTAAAAAGAAATAATAGGGCAATTTTAATTACATGTTAATGAATAGACAGAATGAGGAATATTCTGAAATGAGCGCCAACCCTAGTGGCATAACTAAACCAAGAAAAACATACCCACATACGATTTTAATCTTTATTAAATTTCAAAATGAGGACAAAAATAACCTAGAAGTAACATTTCCCTAACAGTTCCATATGAACACCTATCCATCCATCAGATCTAAAAATTACATAGCACTGAGACTTAAAGCTTTCTGACTCTATTTAAATATACACTGGCAGCACACTTTTATACTGTAAATACCAGTATTCCATATGGTTATCGTTAGTTTATGTGCTTTTTGGCTACTGACAGAATGAACATGTATAAACTTCCATTGGATAGTACAAAGGGTCACTTCACAAAGGAAATCAATTATCTATAACTACAGTTTCCAATATAACCTGCTGGTCTCACTTTACCAAACCACAGAGGTATTGACAATCTTGATTTGTTGATATTTTTAACCTTCTAGGTCAGGACTGGAGCTCTGCTATTTTTAATTCTTCTATTTCATTAACATATCACACATTCTTGCATGCAGTGGCTGAAGCCAGCTTGCACTGAATATTTATTTACACAGTAGCTAATGTAATGTATATTAGGATTTCTTTTATTAGATTTCACAGATCACGGCACAAGGATATACAGGCGATACCACTCTGGTATCTCCTCATTAATTATAATATAGTGTATAGCTTTTATAACATGACTATGCACAATAAATTACAAAGAAATAAAAAACACATCTTCTTAGGGATATAGGTTAAAATAGAAGAACACACAATTCATAATAAAATATTATTATTAAATATAGCTAAAACATACTTCATCAGTACTAGAATGTGGTTGAAGAGCTTTCTTCAGAAATCGAGGAGGCAGATCTCGATTTGAGGGAGTTCCACTGAACCCTAGTTGGCTCTGACTTTGATTTTGTTGTCTTGGTTGTTGATAAGCAGGAAAAAGATCATGATCACGGTCACGATTGGGAAATTGTTTATTGCGATTACTGTTAAAATATGGTTGAGATGAACCACCAGTTAGGAAACCTGCAGAAACATATATCAGATTTAGAAATCTGTTTCCAAATGGCTGACAGCAAACTGTTTAATGTCACAGTTAATTTTAAGATTAACATAAATCTGCCAATATAATACATGCCTTCCTGGTACAAACAAGTGCGTACTAAGCTTTAGCAGTTCCACAGATTAGGAGAAAAACATATTTTCAGCTTGCATTTCGCATTAAATAATGGAATATACTACTCATTACTAACATAAAATATACAGCACCTCGAAGATACTATGGGATGCCAATTTATAAGATGGACATTAACTCAGCAGTTTACTGAACTATAAATATAATTAATGACTTAGTAACATGAAGATGATCCAAAAATTCAAATACATATTAAAATAAAATTTTGATTATACCTTAAATCTGCATCAATTAGTATTTAGTACAATAAATGCTCTAAATGGTATTTTGTACCCCTCTGCTATTTAAATTTAATATATCAAATCAGTTTTTTAAACTGTGGGTAGCGGGACCTGCAGCGGGGAGTCACAAAAATTTTAACAGTTTTAATATTTCTTTAACTTATAATAATTTTACAATAACCAAATATTTTTACACAATGTATCTGAAAATAGATAAAGGTAAGACAATACAGATAAAGAAAAAACAAAAACGTTTCGATGCATTCTTTTTATAAGATAAATGCTCATTTTACTTGCACGTTATGCTGTAATTTCATCTGTTACTTAAATTTTTCATTGTTCTATGTCTTAAAATTAGAAATTAAAGTTAATGATCTAAAACTGCAATAGTATAATTACAGTACAAGTGAAAAAATTGACAGTTTCACTCATGTGTGTGTCGGATTTGTGCAATGCTTATGGGATCCCACAAAACTTTTGTAATTATGGGGTCCTGGGGTTGGAAAAAATGTCAGTGATAAAAAGGGGTCACGACTGAAAGGGCTCTGTATTAAACAATGTGATTGCCTTGTATGCTTCTACCGGAACAGGATTATTAATCGGTTAATGTCTTATGTGAGACTTACATTTTTAAATCAAATTATATGTAATTGAAATAAAATAACTTTGTGCAGAATTGAAGATGTTTAGTGAAGTATCATACACATTTCCTAACTTTGTGAGAATGAAAAATCAGAAAAAAAGTATAAATTGAATTTGAAGTGAAAAATGACAAATATCCAAATATTTTGACACAGCTATATGGGAGGCACTTATCATAAAAAATGACAAATTATATACAAGAAATTAATTCCAACATACTAATAGTATTTTCTTGCTTTTGATAAATGGTAATTCAGAAATTGTGCTTTAAAAACATTTAAATTTCAGAGATTAAAGACACATTTAAAAAAATGGTCAAAATAAAAGATAAAAACATTTTAAACCCTGACAGAGAGAAAAACAAAAAGTTTTATTTTTCTAAGAAATGCAGTTTTAACCAATCACTTTAACACATTTAATGATACATTATTAAGGACTGAAATGCTTCTAAAAGGCTGATCTAATATTGTTGATTAACTTTCTACATGAGCAAGTATATAATATCCACTCTCTTCATCTATCTTTTCTAGATTAAAATATTTTTCCTTTGTTTCACAAGTTATCTTATCTCTTTCTGCCACTAAATGCTAACATAACGAAAAAGAGAATATTTTAAATATATGGAAAAGGGAATACAAAGACATATACTTTTTAATTGTTTGTTATTAATGAATACATAATAACTCTTCCTCACCAGATCCTCCAAGGCCACCTCTGGCAGGACGACCCATGTTACTAGAGTAAGCAGGAAATGTATCAGTAGAAATAACACCAGGTCCAGTCCCAAGAGAACCAACACCTATAAAACATAATCATAGAATTTTTTTTTAAATTATTATTTATATATTTCACAGGTTACTATTTAAAAATTTCAGTGTAGCAAATATTAAATTCAAGATCACATTGTGCCATTATAACCATTATTGTCTTGAAAAGACAAATTTAATTTTCCATTCCTTTTTGAAAGCATTCAAGACAAAATAAGAATTAATTATATATACAATTAATTTATAAGAATTAAATTAATTATAATATAAATGTAATAATGATATTATTGGACTTCTTTCATTTCTTAAAAATAATATATACTTATATGTGCTTAAAACAATATATGCATTATCCTAATTAGTGACACTTTATTGTGCTAAATAAAAAGAATTGACAATGGACCAACATCTATAATAAACATAAATTTTATGATAGTCTACAACATAAAATCAGCAAAGCCTTGTGCTCGGGATAAATTTAGTCAAGAACTTAAAACGATTTCAATGGATTGCAGATTTCTGGAAATTTTTAGAAATCTGCAAGATTACTGCAAATTTCTTTGCTCCTGATGAAGAGGAACCTGTACCCCTTTGTCTTTGAAATTAAAACATCATTATTGGTTTGTCTACAAGTTATTAATCTTTCAGTAATGCAAAAAAAGAATGAAATCGTCATTCTATAGAAAATGCATCACTACTGTAGGTTTATTTACAGGGTCACTATTAAATAATTTTTAAAAAATGTCTTGCAATACAATTATTATATCAAAGTGCAACATAATATATCTACTTCCAACAGTACAAACATTAAAAGTATGAAGGGAATTTTGGGCACACCTGGAAATTCCTTTGTCAAACATACATTATTAAATTATGTTTAAATTTTGTTTAACTTCTTGCAAAGTTAATATTCAGAAATTTTTACCTTAGCACATGACAATCATATTTTTTTGCTCAAAAGAAAAATTATGCAGTTAATTTTTCAACAGTATATTATTTTATATATGCCTTGCAAAAAACGGGAGATGTAGAAGAGGGAACATTCTCCCGTTCTATTGGACCAAATGTCAAAATTTAACTTTTATATACCCTAACTTGCACTTTCAAGACATGAAACTTAAAAATATATCTTTTTTCACTTTTTTTTTTTTTTTTTTTTCAGTTTGACCCAAGAATAATTCACTTGGCAAACTTCTTAATTTATAACAACATATTTTTCTTTCCTTTTCTTCATTGCACATGAGTGGGAAGATGGTCATCTTTTATTACTTTCAAATAATTTTAATAGTGTAAATCACATTTGGCGTCATTATCGCTTATATCCCAAATTTCAAAATGCACTAATATGTAAATTCACGTAAAAAGTTATTTAAAAATATACATTTTAAAAATAAATCATAAAAAATGGGGGAATTCTACTTGGAATGAACCTCAATTTTGAAATATGAAAGGAAGACTCGCATAAGTTTAATAAAAAAAAAAAGAGATTTTAATAAATATATACCAAATTCAATGAACATGGAGAAGTTGAAATTTTGAGAGCTAATTTTTTAAAAACTACTCATATGAAAAATTAGTGCGTTATTTTAGATAAAGTTCGATTTTGTGTCAAAATCCCTATATTAGAACAATGCTATATATAAATCTGATATATCCTATGTCGCGCTTTCGAGACATGGAAAACGCAAGTTAAATTTCAACAAATAGAATAATATAAGGGGATATATAGAACTGTGCCATTTTTTGTGTGCAAGGTGTACATTATAAATTTTATGTGAATTATTACCTGGAGCAATATGTAAACAGAAATATGAGTTACCTTATAAAGTATGCAATAGTAACTGATATTTGCCATTTGTTTAAGACTGTATAACATACCCAATATAATACTATGTTTCACTTCTGAATTAATTTTAATAATTAAAGATATCAGGCTAGAATGAAACCAGATAATGCTAAGTAATGGTGATAGAGAGCAATGTAGACAAAAAATTTTTGAACAGCAGCCTGTAACATTATGATACAGCAGGTGAGAGACTCACAGGAACAAGTATTACAGGGTTCTTAGCCACATTTTAGTTAAAAAAATACGCACCTATAAGCACTTTTCAAGCACATTTTAAGAAAAAAAATAAGCACCTGTCTAATTACATCATACACAACTGCATAACCTTAAAAATTAGACTTGTAATTTAAAATATGAGAAATGCAGTATTTATTAAGAGAGAATAAGCATTACCTCAATCATGGAAAATAATTACTTTTTTTTTTTTTTTAAATTTTAAATAACATTACAATTTACAGAACTAGTTTACAATGAGAGAAAAAAAAAGCTATTCAGAACTAAACTATATTACAAGATTTAATGATGAAATTTCAGTTCAATATAGAGAAAATAAATAAGGCATATTTATTGTATTTGCTTGGAACCTAATAATAAATACAATTTATTTTTCCACTCATATTGATATTTAAATAATTTAAATCTAAATTCTGAACATTTTCTAAATTTTCATTGTATATCAGTTTTCCCTTAACAGATATTGCAAGCAAAGTAATTTAAATAAAAAAAAAAAAAAAAAAAAAAAAAAAGGGACCATTTCTGAAATCAGAAGACAGAAATTTGCTTCATGCAGTCATCCTTTAACAATAAAAGCAATAAATTAACTAACCCGCATACTTGGAAATTGGCGAATATTGGACAGTCGAGCGTAACTTGAATAAGAGGAGCGGAGGAGGGGGGGGGTAGACTGTAGCCGCTCTTTAGATTTTCCCGCTAAATAAATGCTTTTGACATTTCAATATGTGCATCATATAAAACATATATGTGCATCATATAAACGGAACTAAAAAATATTCTGCTTAGCAAGCACAGTTAAAACTCTTTTAAGTGTTCATAAACAAATCTCAGACTGAACATCAAAATTAATTATCTCTGCAAAAGATCGCAAACGTTATTGCGCAATACGTGAGCCGTGAATTACGTGATATTACGCAATCGGAATCAACAGCCACCGGTGTTGGGAGAATAAAGAACTAAATAATTGGGGTGTTTTTGATTCTAATTTTCAACAGACAGCGTTAAATTTACGGAATAGAATCATTCTTCGCTTGGGTTCGTAGACCGCAGAACTTTTAGTCCTATTCAATCCAGATTGGAAAGTGACCAAAAAAAAAAAAAAAAAAAAATTTTGCAGCGAACTGTTGACTTGTGTTTCAACAAATTCAAGATTTTGCGGAGAAAGGGGGAGAACCTCCCAACCTTCGTACTGTATAATGTATTGGCCAAAAAAATGAAATTATTTGACTATTTGATTACTTTCCCCTTTATTTAAGCCATTCCGAATATTATTTATTCCTTAGAAAGCTAATCTGCGTTAAAAAACAACCATTTTTGGAAGTTTACTATACTTCAGCAGTTACTGCAACTATATTTTTATAAATATTCATACATATGGCTCATAATATAAGCATAACGATCATAATAAACGCGAATATGAACTGAACCACGCGGAAGAGAATTTAAATTATTTAAAATCTTGATAGAAATTCAAACGTGTGTAGTATTTTGGGGTGGGAGGAAAAGAATACCGAATGTATCGAGAAATTTCTACTGCTTTCCCAATTCTTTGACCAATAGAACGACGGGCACCTGTCTGTACTCCTTCGTGCAGACCAAAGGTTATGTTAATGCAGAAAAAGTGGGGAAAGCTATTTCCGGGAATATGATTCACCATGTGACATTCCATATTAGGAAGAAAAGTTGTTTATTTAGTTTCAGCTTTGGTACGAGGAAAAATTGCGCTTTCATTTAAAAAAAAAAGCACTGAAAGCAAAAAATAAGCACTAAAAACAAAATAATAAGGGCTTTAAAAAAAAGTAAGCACCTATAAGGGCCTTTATATTTTATTTTCAAATATAAGGACTTATAAGCACCGCTACGAACCCTGTATTATTATGTTATGAGCTGATGACTAGGGCCGACAACATAATAAAACACATTTAATTTACCTAATATCTAGTCACTAAGGCATCTGTAGATAGACACAGGAGAGGTAGACGCAATTTCCTGCAAGGTCAGCATTTCAAGAATATAAACAAATAAACATGCTTTCTGATTTTTTTAAGATATAAAAATAGTTTATTTAATGATACAAAAATATTCATGATTTAGGTCACTTTGAAAATGTTGGCACTGGTGATATGCAAGTGAAGATTAATAAAAGGATCTATTCTCAGAAAATGATTTCAAGACTATATTGCAGCATCTATGAACACATGAGAAAGTTTACACATTTTAATAATTGAACAAAAAAAACTACTCAAATTTCACATGGAGTACACAACACTGAAAATACAATATAAAAAGGGGGAAAACAAATACATAATTGCATACTTATACAGTCAAAAGTCGTTAATCCAGACACCCATAATACGGAATGATCTATTATCCGGACCTCAAAACTACAAACTTTCTGTGCATGCACATAATATGTTTACGTATGCGCATTTAATGTATAACGGACGGTATAAGCTAAGCTAAAATTATCTAATTATCTATTTCAGTTAATGTTGCAGATTGCGTTGTTCCTTAATTTTCGAATTGGATCTGGCTTATTATTTTTTGCACACTGTTAGAGCAATTTTATAAAAGTAAGCTTGAACTTTCGATTACGTCAAATAGAATTTCCGATGATGGAGCTTCCAAAGGATCTATAAAGCGAAAGTATGTTACGATGTCCATCAAACAAAAAGTGGAATTGCTACAAAAAAATGGATAAAGGCATATCCTTTGTTTTTCTAACTATTCCGAAATCTGTTTATCAATTTCACGTTGCTCCGCGGGGGGGGGGGGGGGGGACATCGCGGCACGCAACGAATTGGAAGTTGATCTGTCAGCACTATTCCTATCTTCAGAGCTGTTTTTATTTTATTTGGCTTATAATTCCTTACTAAATGTAGTATTTCATCTCGATGTACTCCGTCTTTGATATGATTTAAATCAAATTCATCGTCATTATAATTCGCTTCTGATAGTGAAGAAAGTGACACAGAGGTTAGTGAAAACAAAAAAATTTCGATTGACAAATTAGTCGGCATTCTCAACACAGGAATTATAGGATTTGAACAGCGAACTTTGTAACTGAACAAGAAATTATGTCTGTTTATAGAATTAAAGAGAAAGTTTTATCGCATAAAAAGAAGCAACTTAAACAACTTACATTGAAAGAAATGTTTAATAAAGTAAACAAATAAATATTAAGCTTTTTTTTTTTTGTAAATTTTGATACCCTTTAGATCATAATTGTTCCTTTATTTCATAAATTACGGTTTCATAATTTTAAATTTATAATTCCTGCATGCCATCTTACCAGATTTAAACTGATGATTTATAATCCGGAATCGCCGAAGTCCCGACGAAAGACTTTTGACTGTACCAAATATTTCCCATTTTCATAATAAATTTAAGATCTTTAGAAAACTCATTACAAAAGAACATATGAGCCTATTCTCTGCTACAAAGAATAGGCATTATAACTTTACAAAAATAGGACTGTTTGCATAAACAATTGACTATGTCTTACGGTTACTTTCTGACACCACTGCTCAAAAATTAAACAACTGATCTACCGTAATACCTTTAAGAAGAGTTTAAGATTTAAAAATTTTAGAAATACTTTGGAGACTGAAATCCTCTTTTCAAAAAATGCAGAAATTACAAGATGTTTCTGAAGATGCTTGAGACACTGGAAATGATATTTCTAGTATTACAGTTAGCATGAAAATTATACCAATATGTATGCACTATGATCTTTCCTCCAGAAGTATCAAACAATAAATCCATTATAAAAACTGCTAACTAGATTTAATACTGTACTGCTAACAAAATAATTAAAAAAAGAACGTAACTGTCACAAAAACAGTAAAAATTCATATTTTGGAAAAGAGATAACTTGAATGAGTAAAAAAAAAAAGGAAGCTGATAAGGAAAAGCAAATACAAACCAATCGGAATGGAACTGAAAACGTCATCCAATCCACTGCGCAGTTTTCCCATGCCAAGAATACCACTGGAAGCAAGAGACATGTTACGTGCAGGAACAGAATAATGCATATAGACTCCAAAGTCTCGAGCTGCATCATCTCTCACTTGTTGGATAGTTTTGGGTCCATGATCAGAAAGAACTCTCCGTGGCACCCACTTCAAATGCAGATGATAATAATATAATTTATATTACTTTATACAGTAGAAAAGAAATCATTTGACATATATATATTTGATTCATTCATAACATTGTTTAGCGTATATTTTCTATTCAGATTTTTTTTAAATACCCCACTAAATTTTTTACACCAATTTGGAGTGTATACCTAAGAAGTTATTCCAAAATAATCACAGTTTGTAAAATAAAATCAGTAGTTTATTTTTTTTAAAAAAATCAGTTTGCTTTATGTTTCATATTTCTCAAGTAAATTTTCTAATTTGTGTTCAAAAATTTTAATTAAAAACCCTTTTTATAAATGTTTTCAATTAAAAAAAATTGCCATTGAGCAGATATTTCTTAAATATATTTTTAAAATCAGTTTTTTTCTTTCATTTAACCAATTCAGAGATTAAATACTTAATTATAAACATCTAAATCTTAAATAAGACTGAAAAGGATAATGTCAAATATAAGCTTTATACATATCTGTATTACTCAGATTTACTTCATTAGCATTTTGTACATTCCAATTCATTGAACAAAATTTTAAAGAATTAGGTTTTAAAAACATAACCATTTAAATATTAGGGCTCCCACTCCACCCCCTTTATTTTTTTATAAAATATGAACAGTTTAAAAAAATGAGTTGCGGAAAAAAAATTGTTTAAATTTATACACAAAAAACTGTTATTTACATCTAAATAATTACTATATTAAAATTCTACTATTTACATAAGAAAAGTTCTAAACATACAAAGCATTCAGTATTAAAAACTCGTACTTCAAATAATTCATACAGTTTTTAATTGTGACAATTAATGGACATAATTCAAAGTCCCCCCACCACACACACACAAATTAAAAATTAATAATTACCCTGTTCTGTCGAAGCTCCAGAACATCCTGCAACATGAAGCGAATGCGAGAAGGCAGTTCAAAATTACTGGCAAATATTTGCATTCTTTCAAAGTACTGATCCATCAGTGCCTGCAACAGGATAACAATGAATGAAATTAATCAGCAACATTACTTCACAGAACAGAGAAAAATCAGTGCATTTTGTAATAGAAAGGTGGCAACATCTTGCAGAATGGCCTATTTTTTAACAAAAAACATTTCCCTTGAAATATTTTTAATTAAAAAAAAATCAATACATTAGTATATTCTTAATGGTTTACTTCAAATAGTAATTTAAAATGGGTGTTGCAAAAGATTTTATGGACAAGTAAGAATGAACAAAAGTATGATTATGGCTGTGGCTTAAATTACACTAAGCTTAGGGGCACCAATACATCCAAGTGACCTCCCAAAATAAATAATACATTAACACATACTTTACATTTTTAAAGGTATTACATGCTGTAATTAATAAAAAAATTAATAGAAAGGAAAAAAAAGAAGAAAAACATAAGAAAATAAGATTAAAAATACTCCAAATTAACTGGGGACAAATCCAACAATCCTTGTCTTAAAAGGGGATAAAGTAAGTTTGCTTACTGCATACATATGGAAAAATTACCATAACAAAACCACTAAACCAAATCAAAACTGTTTACAAAAAATACAAGGGGAGAAAAATAACACGAAAAGCAGATGACGTCATGGTGTTCGGGAATTTTTATCTACAACAGTATACAGTTTGACTGTACATAATACGAAACATATGAACATTATCAAATCATGCATTTAATAATAAATTCCTCAATCACAAAAATAAATCAACTGTGGAGACATTCACCTGTTTCACATTGACTGCCACTCAATGAAATACAATGTGTGGAAATAAAAACATTTTCTTACTGTTTTGTTTTGAGACATATTCTTTCTGTTTTTAATGCTAATTTAATCTATATAACAAAAGAAATTTACTTTTCTAGACTGCACTGCTTGGAAATATAGGTTAATTATCAACAGTATTTTCAATTAATTATAATACTAGTTCTTCCTATTTTTTTTTAATTAATCAGTATCTTAAGTGCCAATGTTATCCCCTACTACACCAGTAAATTAGAAGTTAACTGCATAAGAAAGAAATAATATATCTGAAGCCTATTTCACTGAAACAATTGCTCACATATAGCACATCACTGGATTAGATCTTTATGAAGTGGCAAACAGTATAACAGACACATTTTAATATAGCATTTGAAATGTCATTTTTTTTTCTCGGGGAGCACAGAGAGAAACTGATTGACGGGGTCTTAGGTTACAAGGTATTTGATGAGCGAGTGTTTAGAATTATAAAATTTTAAGAATATTTTTTGCTGCCTATGCATGTAATAAAATCACCTAATTATTGTTCAATACTGAAGAACGGATTCAACAAACTAAAATATTTTTAGGAACAGGTTCTTAAAACTGGAGCGAAACAGTTGAATGCAATAAATGAAAAAATTTTTACATAATTTTTGTATAACAAAAACAAAAAACATACAATTTCATTACCAAATCACAGATATAATTTAATGAATTTTTTCTCATTTTGCAGTTTATGAGTTGTGTTCATTCGTCTAAACTGTGAATGGCATCAAATGTAATAATAATTTATGTCTGCGAGCTTTGAAAAATTTCAACTGTTTATAATAGATCCGAACATACGTTTTTGGGTTTAAACGTTAAAACAGACTAAAAGGCATTCGTGTTTTGTGCATTTATGACACATTAAATTTTTTTTCAATACATTTGAATTTACATGTTCATCAAAAACATTTTTGAAATTGCTGCAAGACTTATCAAACAAAGAAACAAATGACTTATTTAACAAGGAAATAGCAGTACATCTAATATTACTTAACTGAAACAATCGCTCAGGTATTAGACAGTAGCCTTATCTATATTCCGAGCAACCTGGCAGTCTTAACATTACTGAATTGCATCCTTATGAAGTGGCATATAATATCATAACATAGCATCGAAATGCAATTTTTTTCTTGGGGTGCAGATGGCGGACAAGCTCTTTAGTTACTTAAAAAAAAAACTAATTGAACAGGAATCCATGCAATTCAAACTAACAAATTTAAGTTTATAGAAAGAACATTTCACATGTGTAAAACTTATGATAAATGAATTGTTAAAATGAAATGAATAAACTGTTATGCATATTCTCTATAGGAAAAAATGTAGAAAAATGTATGAAACATTTTCTCTATAGGAAAAATGTATGTATCATCTAGAACAATGAAATTTGGGCTGAAGTATAAATGGGGTTATACCAGTTGTCTACCTTTTGTTATAATACTGCATTTTAAAAAATCTGATGTGTACACCATGACTTCCTTGTATGGAATATTAAATTATACACATTTTTTTCCTGCATTTTGCATTAACTTATTTCATTAGATATATATTATTCATTCAATTAATTCAGTTCTCATTTCGTGACAACGCAAAAATACATGAAACCTGAAATATCTTTATTAAAAATTGAAAAATATAAAACAAAGACAGTTAAAACAATTTTTACAATTAAAATAAAAGTACCTACGCTAAAACAAGCAATTCAGCCAGCGGGCAAGAAGGCAGATTTTTTGGTGCACAAAACTTAAAAGTTTACCTTTGGTCTCCCTCGGCAAAAAGACACTGAAGGCACAGGAACTAAATTGGTTATGCATCCTATGCTGAGTCAATCAATGGGATAATAACTTAAATGATAATTCCAAAACGGATTAAGCATGATTTAATTCGCAATACTAAAGGAAGACGTTATCTTTGTTGATGCAAAACCTTGGTTTCTCTACTTTCGCAACAAATCCACTATTCTGCTAAGTTTCAAATGCAAATAAATATGACTGCTATGGTTAAAAAGTAGGTTTAGCTGCACTTAAACAACTTTTAAATTGTTGATAATTCTATAAATATTGAGTGGAAGTTAAGACATAAAAACCTTAAGCAGAAGATAAGAACAACATAATTCAATCACAAGCAAAAAAATGCACAATTTGCAAACATATAAGAATAAAGAAAGTGAGCTCACCGAGCCGAATAACAAAGTCGGTATATATATACATTTATATGCTTTTGGTGCGGCCAATTGCCACCAAAAAGGGAGGTGCACAACTATATGGTATAGTCCTATATATAAAGTTTCAACGTTCTGAGGCTACTCATTTTTGAGTTATGCGAGATACATACATACATATGTACAGACGCGACGAAAAAAGACCTCTTCCGATTCCATTTTAAATTAGTTTTACAATTTGTTTTGGAAAAAAAAAATCCTTTACTCTGTCCTTACATACAGACGTCACACAAAAACATCGTTAAACTGCATTCAATAGCAGTCAAAATGAATATTTTCATTGAAATATGGTACCCAGAATTTTTCGTTATTACAATACTTCCTTCACTTCATACAAGGAAGTAAAAAAAGCATACAAACAAAGCCTCAGTTGCTTTGATTACGTCTATCCTGACCATTATATCAACCAGATTTCTTATCCTCTTATCAAGATGGTTCTACAGGTTCAATGTTTCTAGACAAGAAATGTTACTGAAAAAGACAAGGCCCAGCCTTGGTAGGTATTGAAAAAAGTATGTTCCATGAAAATCAGAAGTGCTGCAGCACATACGTATGTGCCAATGGATATTTTTGTAAAATTACTAATAGTTTTTTAATACTAAAAATAACCCTATAAGGATTTTCAGCAAATTTTTAAATATATATGTATCATGCATACACATTTTTCCTTTGACGTCTTCAGCATAAAACAATTATAATTAAATGATCACCTATCTCAGTAGGTTAAATTACATAAAAGTTATTCAAACTTCAAATTTAAACATGTCAAAATAAAACAATAAAGATTTACACAAACTGAAACATAAGTAAATAAAATATTAAATCTAAGAGACGTAAAATGTATTCTAAGAAACATTTTATAAAATACCTATAATTTAACAAATTTTCAGAAAATACAAAAACCTTTAGAGAAATAACAGGTATGGGTTTAGCTATGGGTTATGCCATTCATCACAACAAAATACCTTAAAGCTGTCAGTTTTAGGGTAGGCACTTTTGCAGAGGATTCTAAGGGAAACTGATGCACATTGACAGGAATAAGTTTTTTGTTAATGGGCACCAAATGCATAAACTACAACTACTTAATGGCCTTAGACATTGGTAAACTTGTATTAGCCAAGACACACTTTTAGAAAACTCTTTAATATTAGCAAACAATGGTTCGGCCCTTAAATCACAGAAAAATAATTCACATAACCTGTTTCCTAATAACTTCTATAATTTTTTTACTTAAAGAAATAAAAAAATATTATTTGATTTCGCAGATCTTCATGCACATCGGAATAAAGAACTCCATAAATGGAGTAAAATATTATATTCAAAAAAACACTATTACACATAAACTTACTTTTGCTTTTTCAGTATCAAGTCTATGTCCTACAGTTTTCATTATCTGACAGAGGCACTCCAGGTCTTCGGCCACGTCTTTAATAGTCTGCCTTTTCTTTTTGGCCAAGAGTTGTTGCACACACTGATGCAGGATTGCTTCGTGCAATAAACCCTGCTTCCCCAACTCACCGATAAATTTAATGTTTCCCAACATTTTATGTTTTGCAATTCCACGCTGTTCTTCCTCTTCTGGACTGAGAACGCCATCTTTCTTGTCAAAGGCTAATGTTGAAGAAATGTTTGTAAATTTCTTTTTAGAATAATTACAATAGATATAAAATTATAAAACTTATCAAAATATTCTCTGGGTTGCCACTCAAAGAGGAGAATGAAATTCCCTGACTATTCCAGGTTTTCCAGATATGTTTCGAGAAAATTCCAGTCTATCCGCGTAATGTACGTTGGCTGTGCTAAGAGGTAAATTAATTATGGTATTACTTGTACTGTGTAGCAAATTCACTTAATCATTCAATAAATCCCAGAGGACATTTATTCTTAATTATTCTTGGTACACTTTCTTTGATAATTTTGTTACTTTTCCGCTTAAAAAACTTAATAAAATTTAAGATATATACATTGGATAACAACTGTGTGTTTTATTTAATTATTACTCATGATCATCCCCAGTTCAACACGAGGCTAATCCGGTTCTTATAAATCACAACGCAATGCTAAAAGTTAGGTTAGATTTTAGGTAAATTTAATTTGTGTGAGGTGTATTCTTAAAAGGCACCTTAACACTTGAAAACACAAATATAATTATAATAGGAGTTGTTTTCTCCACTGAAGATTGAGATTAGAATCTGCCCAATCTGGAATAAAATAAGGCTTTTTTTGCAGACATTCTGCAGCTAAACGAAAGAAAGAAATCTATTTAATGATATTTTTTTACTAAATTGAGGTATTTTATATTTATTTCGCAGCATACATAAGGAAAAAATATGTGCATTAAATTTCGTGATGTCATCATACTGCTAGAATTAATTTCAGGATTATGCCAGAGAAAATTTCCTGAAATTTGGAAATATTATTTACTAATGATAAATAAATTTAGAGGGAAGAAGCAACATTAAATGATATGAATAACATAAAAATAAAGATAATTACTTAAAAATTTAATTAGAATAATCAACGATATTTTAGCGAATATAGTTATATTAGTTATATATGGTTATCTTAGATGATTGATTACTATTTTTTTAATTTACTGCAAAATGAGACAAAGTATTTATTAAAAAGGAAAGAAAAGAAAAGAAAAAAAAAAAAAGATTTTGCGGTAAAATCCTAGTATACGATACGGCCTTCGCATGATTTTGAAAATTGTCGCCAAGAACAAAATGACCCGTTTACTGCTCATCATCATGTCGCCAAATCCCGCTGTATGCATGGAGATTATTCTGACCAAAGAACATCTATGTAAAAAGCGGAGGGAAAATTTGCCAAGGGATTTGACGACGGAACGGCTAGAATTTCCTTCTCCGCGATGTGTACAGGATATTGAGAAACATGTGTTAAGAAGAAACGTTCTTTGACAAAAAAGAAAACTACGAAAATCCGTTTTTTAAATTATTGTGAAAAAGCCAAGAAGAAACGTTTTATCAAAGAACGTTTTTTCTTGGATTTTTCGCAATAATTTTAAAAAACGGATTTTCGTAGATTCCCCCCCCCCGTCAAAATAACTAATCCATGAATTAATTTACTTGCGCCAAAAAATATTTTCTTTTCCTTTAGAGTTTAAAGACATTTTAAACGATATTCATTTTATGAACTCTTGATAACGTGACCTTCGAACTTCGACGACACCGGTTTCGAGCTTTGGCGACAGATATACGTGCATGCACAGCTGTTTCCGCTATGATGGAACCGAGCCACGTCTGTTGCAGAGAGGTTTTCCTTCTTTACAATACATATTTTTTTAATTCTAACCTTCATGGTACCGTATACTAGGATTAAAAACCCATTTTGTTTTATACGAGAACAGGTACTTTCTTTAGTTCATGCACTGCTGCACATGCGATTCTCGAGGTTACTCGGAAACCAAAAGTTGCGGGAAACTTGCTTTGCCTTTCTAAAAGACAATCAAATTGGAGCTGCAAAAATTGGCTCTATGCCAGCTGCCGAATGACACTCCCAATGACGATACACACATTCGCCAAAAAAGTGATCTCTTCCGACATCGGCGCAAAACTCGCCTTTTTTGGCGGGATCGTTGTATGAAATTTCCCGACTTTTCCAGATTTTGACTAAAACACTTAAATTCCCTGACTTTTCCCTGAATTTTTTGGTCAATTTCCGAATTCCCTGACTTTTTCCGGTTTTCCAGGTAGCGTGGCAACCCTGTATTCTTCATCCCACAAATAAATCAGTACGCAGCTTATTTGATTTACTTATACATCACATCATATAAATATTTAATTATGTCAAAGATAAACACAAGCTTTTAAATTATTCAACGGGTTATAATTCTGATATTCTTGACATAGCCTAAAAAGAAAGTAACTAGCAAAGCTTTTGTGAATAAAAATGATATAAAATCATACCAAAATAACATAGTTGAGTATTGTGTTCCTACAATAACAAAAAATTTAGCTAATAATGTTTCTGTTTTAAGAAGATAAAAAATACCAGCTTATGATATGTCCAAACTATCCCTTTACTAGGATTTGGAATTACATTACCTTTAATTCACACAAACATAAAATGCGTCATATAGCCCCAGACATTTCATAACCTGGCCTAACTGGATTAGATTGTTTGATTTAGGTTGGTGTTGGTGTATTTAATTATGGCAAAGCACGCTAGGGCTATCTGCCTGAGGGGAGGGATGCCTTTCGTGGAGGACTTTCTAAGGGAAACTGACTCGTATACACGTTACATATGGGGAAAACCACGAAAACGCCCATGCAGCCAGCCCGTTCGCGGGATTCGAACCTCGGACCGAACTACCAGTGTTTAGCGTCTTTACCGCTCGGCCGCTGGTGGGCTTGTTTGATTTAGGCAGTGGGACTATTTGCTAAAACTGCATCTTAAAGGGAGATGTAATCTAAGGGAACTGTACCCTTCTTCCCTCACCATTAACATTTCAAGAAGTCCAGACATGTAGAAGACTTGTTTTCAACAGAACAGGGCTGTGGAGTCGGAATCAGAGTTGCGTAGATTTTTGGGTAAAAGGAGTCGGAGTTGGAGTCACTAAAAAACACGTCAACTCCGACTCCAGTTTGAATTTGAAATGAAATTAAAGTGAACTGAAAAAAAATTTGATGACAAATTGAGTTAATATTTTTATTTATGAACTATATAGATTAATAACAGTTATTTTCTATTTTATTGACATATTAGTAAATAAATATAAGGAAGCAGGATGGATATGATATTTGCCATTATTGATTAAACTGATTCATTTAGTTACTAATCTCATTGGTGAATTGAGGTAACAGCGAGCAGGAAAAGAAGCAACGCAATGGACTAATATTTTACCAACAGAAAGACTGTGGAATGATCTTGCAGAACTGGAAATCCTTCTTTCAACACCATATATAGTCACAAAAAAAAGCTACAATCTGAAGAATTAACAGGAGACGAGAATGTTAGAAGAAGTAGACAACCTTAATGTTTCACTAACAGAAAAACTGTGGAATGATCTTGAAGAATTGGAAACTCTTCTTTCTATACCGTATATAGCCACCAAACAGCTACAATCTGAAGAATTAACAAGTGGCAAGACTGGAAGAATGCGATGTTTGTTCTTTCTGAAATGGAGGGTTTATTGCATTTTTTCAAAAAGAAAAGAAAAACTAGTTTGCTAGACAATAAGATCGCACTGGGTTCAATATATGTAGATCCAAAACACCAAATTTTGTTAGATGACAAACAAATTAAAAAAGCAAAGAAAGACATCCATGAACTTTCATTAAAAATTAAATTATTCTCAGAACTGGAGTATTCAAATCAGGACAGTCAAACTGCTGATATTGCAACTGAGTCTCTACCATCTTCTTCCACTGATGAATTAGATTTTGAGAAATATTTGGATAATATTGAAAAGGCTACGGCAAAGTGAATGAAAATAAAGAACCAAGAGCCTTTAGATATAAAAGTGAAAAAATACAAACAAGATTTATACACGGCTTTTGAAGAAATAGATAAATATGATTGCTCTTGCATGACACCTCTTTTAGAACTTACAAAAATCTATCCTGAAAAGTTAAGGAAGTAGCCATAATAGTAACAGTTCTTCCTACTCAAGTCAGAGTGGAAAGACTCTTCTTAATTCTGAAGTTTATCAAATTGGATCTATGGTTCTCTAACAAAGATCTTGCCAAAGTTTTACTGTTTCTTAGAATTTACTAATGCTAGTTTTTCCATTTCATAATAAATGCTAATTAATATAAAAAATTTGCTATGCATCAATTTTTATCTGTAGCATCTACTACTTCGTTAAAAAAATAAAGCTGTACCCATGTTTATATGTTTACATATATATGAAGAAGTTGGAGTCGGTCATTTTCCCTACCGATTCCACAGCACTGGTTATAACAACTGACATAAAAATCACTTTTTTATAATCGCAAGAAATTCAAACTTTAAAAAAAAAAAAAAAAAAAAAAAAAAAAAAAAAAAAATTAACACGTGGTTTAAGACCAAAAAGATAGTCTAACCACGTGGTTTAGACTATCTTTCTGACCCAACACATTGTGGTTTCAATCTATCCTATGAATGAAAACTGGTACTGATAATAATGTACAACTGTTTGTGTCACAAAGAGAGAAATGAAATAGTCTTACCAGCTGATAAAGAAACAGCTTGTGAATAATTTACTAACCGTCACTTCTTTTTCGAAGAGGAATTTAAATCTTAAGATGAACTGTAACATGATGCCCCTTAAAAAAATCCAAGCAAATTTATACCTTCTCCCCCAAAAAAAGATGGCACTACCCTGTGCAGATGGAATGGGAGAAACTTAACAGCTTTCACAAAAACATGGTATTGGTTAGACTATTTTATCAACTGTTGACAGCACATTTATACTGAAACAACTCTTTAACAATGTTAGACTGAAAGGTTCTCCAGAAACAGATCAGATAAAGTTATCAGATTAATGGTCATTCCTATTTTTGCAGGTTTCATGAAATGTTACATGCACACTTACAAGATTTTTAGTCCAGCAACAGCATACAATTGCATTTAGTTCATGTACTGATTATATTAAAGATGGCAGAATAAACAAAAGAGAAATTTATTCATTCCTCTTCCCCTATTTAAAGGAAATACCATTAAAGTGAAGTATTTGTACTGAGATCCAATACATGTACTTTGTAAATTTGAGGATATGTTTCACTGCATCGGAATACAGTGGTTGTAAGAATTCCAACAGAAAAATTTTAAACACTCTATATCAATTGGTGTTGGCCAACTGTGACGAGCCAGTTACTTTTCTGTAGCCTATCAGAATGTAATATTAAGCATAGATTTCTGACTGTGTGTATATTTTTAAGAATCTTAAAACCATTTTCAGGACATCAACAATCAGAGAAGCCTTCTTACTTGATTCCAACCTTAAGATTTAAACACAAATATGTTTCATAGAAAGTAACTTCTAGATCACAATTTTAATTTCTTTCAATAACCTCACCTTTGGTCTCTGTTATTATATTTGGAAAACCATTTACAAAGATTATTTCACTACCATCCACACATCCCCCCCCCAAAAAAATTACTGCCACAAGAATTTTAGACTTACTTTTTTAGAACGCATTCTTAAATATTTGCTACACATAATATATCGTGCAGTTAAGAGTCTTTAAGACACAACTTGAAATGATCCTTGAAGACAAAGAAATAGTTACTGTTTTAAAGTTTTTTAATGTAAATACTCTATTTTTCCTAATTTTAAAAGTAATGCTCATAAGCTAAAATATTATGCATATTACAAATAGTATTATATAGCAAACTATGCTAAAAGAAGAACAATCTCATTAGTATTTTCTTTTTTATTAAAAGCTGACAAATAAGATAATTTATGTCTATGCTAATTTACATTAATTTATAAACTATAACTAAAAAATGAAATATAAAATTTACATAAAAAATATACTGCTTCTATAATAATGATTTCAAACTGAAATAAGGATATCATTACTAATTATTTCCTATCAATATTTTTCAATAAAACAAAACTTTACAACTTTATATAAAATATGATATTAAAAAGCTGTTATTTACATTATTTAAGTCACCTAATATCTAAAATTTACTTAATTAGATATTATTCAAATATACATAAACAGATAAATGAATTTCAGCATTTAAATATTTCACACTTTTCAAATGTATGGGTTCATAAAAAAATTGCTATTAGATGCATACCGTCACTGGTTTTCTTTCGATTTTCAAATTCGTCCTGGCACTTAGCTAATAAAAGGCGACGGAATGTCTATAAAAAATGAATTAAGTAATCAGAATTTGAAAATCAGTGATTTTTCTATAAAATTCAATAACAAAAATAAATTCAAACTAAATTATAATTCAGTTTTTTAAATGACAAATTATAATAGGAAATTTAAGAATTACATGCTCATAAATAATAACATATCTGCTTATAATAATAAAAATCCATATTACTTTAACACCACTTTGCTCTATTTCCTTAAGCATCTAGTCACAAAATGATTACAAAAAAAAAAAAAATTTAACAATTCTAACAATTACAGGTCAGGTACAAATAATTAAACTAAAAAAAAAAAAAAAGGAAGGACGGGAACTCTAATAAAACATATTAAAAAAACTTGAAATAAGTACAATCATTTTTAAAAGCATCCAAATTTTTGCAATTTTTCTACAATCAGAATGGTGATTAGAGAAATCATCTGCCATTTTGCAGTATCAATTTCCTTATGTCTTTTGACTATGACATCCTTAATAGTCACAAAATGATCAATGTTGTTAAAACACAAATGTCTTGTGTTTTAATTCCTTTGCATCAAACAAACCCAAAATTTATTCCTTTTAAAATCCCAAAATGAGAAGTTATAAATTTGTTTGAAAGAAATTCAAACCTCCAGGAGGTTATGTTAATGGAAGTCTAGCAATTACTTTTCTCTAAGGGGTCTTTGTCACATGCTGCATCTTTACAGTTTTGTCCTGTGGGTAGAACTGCAATGATACACATTGATAAGCTTTCTAACCTTCCACTTAGCATTTACAATTATTTCACTATTTTACATTTCTAAAATTACAATATTTATAATAGGAGAACTCTAATGTTAATAAAAAAAAGGAATATGTATTTCAAAGATAAATAAGATTTATTATTAAGGAAAAGAAAATTTTTTACCTAAATGAAATTTCAACACTTTTTGTAATATATACACATTTGTAAAGAATGGAGAGGATACAGTTTTGTTTTTATTTAAACATATAATTAATAACACTAATGATATTTTTGTAAAATATTAATTCATTTACACATATGTATAATATTGGGTCATATTAAAAGTCTCCATGCTTTTTTGCCACTAGATGGTGTTAAAGCCTATATATTCGGCAATACTCATACCGATTGTCTCAAATGAACATGTGCTTAAAAGGTGGTATTCGGTTTCCATTGTTTGTGAAAATAAGTTTTTTTAATTCGTTGCTCTTGTAAAAAGGTATATGAATTTGAAAATCAGTGAAATATATCTGAAGAAATACAATATGTGATGCTTTTTACTTCCTTGTACGAAGTAAAAAGGAAGTATTGTAATCGCGAAAAGTTTCAGGCAGCATATTTCAACGAAAATATTCATTTTGACCGCTATAGAATGCAATTTAACGATGTTTTTGCATGAAATCTGTACGTAAAGATAGAATAAAAGATTTGTTTCCTTCAAAAAAATTATAAAGCTGCTTTAAAATCAATTCTGAGGAGAATTTTTCGTGGCGTCTCTACGAACGTATGTACGTACGTTCGTATCTCGCATAACTCAAAAACGAGTAGCCTCAGAACGTTGAAATTTTGTATGTAGGACTGCTATAACATGTAGATGTGCACCTCGTATTTTGGTTGCAATCGGCTGCACCAAACATATATAAATATATATATCCATTCTGTTACCCGGCTCAGTGATCTTGGTTTCTTTACTCTTATATGTTTGTAAATTGTACATTTTTTTGCTTTAAAAATGATTGAATTATGTTGTTTTTATCTTCTGGTTAAGGATTTTATGCCTTTTGTAAATCTGTGTGCAATTATTTTGAGAATTATCAGCAATTTTTAAGTTGTTTAATTGCCGCTAAGTCTTTTTTAATGGCGGCCATTGATGTTTACATTTGAAACAGGAGACCAGTGGATTTGTTGCCAATCTAGAGAAATTTAGCTTCGCAACAACAAAGATAATGCATTCATTTATTATTGCTAATTAAATCATGCTTAATTCTTTCTAGAATTTTTTCGAGGAAATAAGTGTTTGAGATTTACTTCGCAATTTTTAATATAGATATTTTGAGTTTTTATGTATTTTTGCCTTCTCGCGAAGTGAGAACTGAATTAATTGAATGAGAAATACTCAATCGTCTGTGAAAAACTTTCTTTTTTGTTTTGTTTGCTTAATTTCTTTTATACATCATTCTAGCTTTATTATAGTATTTGAATAGAACATGTGGGCAACGATTAGATAATTCTATTCTTTAAATGATATAAATTTTGTGTGCATTATGAGTTATAATATGAACGAAATATAATACTGTTAAGTGAATCTAGCGGCAGAGTGTCGCTATGGTAAACAAATACTAGAGTGAATTTTAAAGAATGCATTTATTCTATTGTGGTTGATGCGCTGTCGGCGAAGTAGATTTAATTCAATCCAATAAGTTTAAACGAAAATTATGCCTAAACATTATTTTTACTTCCTTGTACGAAGTAAAAAGGAAGTATTGTAATGGCGAAAAGTTTCAGGCAGCATATTTCAACGTAAATATCCATTTTGACCGGTTTCGAATGCATTTTAACGATGTTTTTGCGTGATATCTGTACATAAGGACAGAATAAAAGACTCTTTTTCTCCAAAAAAATTATAAAACTGCTTTAAAATGAATTCTGAAGAGAATTTTTCGTGGCGTCTGTACGAACGTATGTACGTAGGTATCTCTCATAACTCAAAAAAACGTAGCCTCAGAACGTTGAAATTTTGTATATAAGACTACCATAGCATGTAGATGTGCACCTCGTATTTTGGTTGCAATCGACCGCACCAAACTTATATAAATATATTTATATATATATATCCACTCTTACCCGGCTCAGTGACCTCAGTTTCTTTACTCTTATATGTTTGTAAATTGTACACTTTTTGCTTTAAAAATAATTTAATTATGTTGTTCTTATCTTCCGGTTAAGGTTTTTATGCCTTTAGTAAATCTGTATGCAATATTTTTAGAATTATCAACAATTTTAAAGTTGTTTAAGTGCCGCTAAGCCTAATAATATTTTTTATGGCGGCCATTGCTTGTTTACGTTTGAAACAGCAGAGTAGTGGATTTGTTGATAATCTAGAGAAACGTAGCTTCGCAACAACAAAGATAACACCTTCATTTATTATTGAGAATTAAATCATGCTTAATTCTTTCTGGAATTTTTTCGAGGAAATATGTGTTTTAAGATTTACTTCGTAATTTTTAATACAGATACTTTGAGATTTTGTGTATTTTTGCCTTGTCGCGAAGGGAGAACTGAATTAATTGAATGAGAAATACTCAATCGTCAGTGAAAAACTGTTTCTTTTTTGTTTTGTTTGCTTAATTTCTTTTATACATCGTTCTAGCTTTATTATAGTAATTCAATAGAACATGTAGCAACGATTAGATAATTCCTTAAATTATATAAATTTTGTGCATTCTGAGTTATAATATGAACGAAATATAATACTGTTAAGGAACCTAGCGCCAGAGTGTCGCAATGGTAAACAAATAGAGTGCAGTTTAAAAAATTCATTTATTCTATTGTGGTTTATGCGCCGTCGGCGAAGTAGATTTAATAAAATCCAATAAGTTTAAACGAAATGCAAGAAAAAATGCGTATAATTTAATATTCCGTACAAGAAAGTCATGTGGTGTACACATCGGATTTTTTTACTATAAAAAAGGTAAAAAACATGCCAAAGAATTTGTGAAGTGTATGGTGAGAATGCTGTGAGTAAACGAAGGACACAGGATGGTTTGCTCAATTCCATTTCCGAAATTTCGATGTCAAAGATGCATCTTGCTCTGGTCGGCCAGTCACTGAATAAGTTGATGAAATTTTGCAATGGAGCAAGATCGGCATGTAAGCTGTCAGGAAATAGCGGAGGCACTAAACATCAACCACATAACAGTTTGGAATCATTTGAAAAGAGCAGGCTACAAAAAGAAACTCGATGTTTGGGTGCCACATGAATTAGCGAAAAAAAGAGATTTGATTGACCAAATTATTATGAGTGAAATTCTGCTGAAACGCAACAAAATCGAATCACACACATCTTTGATGACTCGGAACAAATTGGCGTAGCTTGGTTGGGAAGTTTTGATACACCCAACGTATAGCCTGGATCTTGCTCCATCTGACTACCATTTGTTTGACTTGCTCCTTCTGACTACCATCTGCGAAACTCTCTTGATGGTAAGAAATTGGCTGACCAAAGCGCTACTGAAAATCACCTGGCCAAGTTTTTGATGATAAACCACAGAAGTTCTAGACCAATGGAATTATTAAGCTACCCGAAAAATGGCAAAAGACCATAGATAATAATGGCCAATATGTACTTAATTAAAACTGATTTTCAATAAAGAAACTTTTTGTTCAAAAATGTACAAAAAAAGCGCTAAGACTTTTTATATGACCCAATATTCTTGCTTATCCCTATATAACACATTTATAACACATCTATTGACCTAGGAGGAAAAATAAATACTTAGCTCATTTAACAAGCTTTTCCAGTCATACATGAAAACTTTTCCTGCATTTTTTTTAAATAATTAGAAAATAACTCAGTAAATCAATATCATTTAATAGAAATTCAAAGGGCTATAAAAAATATCTTCATTCTTCATAATATTTCATAGTACAATTAATTCATTTGCATTTTGCACCGAGATTTAATTTCTGCCTTGGATACTTCCGTGGGAATTTTATGACTTTGCTACACTTCTGATTTAAGCAACTATGACTACGGTGCTTATTAATCATTAACTGCTTTTCTATCCACTTTTTGCTTTAGTGTTATACTGTGCATATATACATACATACATACATATGTATAATACAAAAAAAGCTATAAAATCTTAAAATTTATAAAAAGAATAATCTATTCTTTCTTCCGTTTTCTTGAGTCGTGCCTCCCTCTAATTTTTCCATTATTATTATGTCTTTTTCAATTTCTGCTCACTTTTTAATATTTTTTTGAAGTGGAGGTCGACGGTTCTCAACCAAAGGTACTGAGTAAATTTTAATCTTAGGTCCCTGTTTACATCTGGAATCAAATTTAACCTACTCGATTGAAAAAATATTTCTTTATCTGTAATTTAAATAAGCTTATGAAAATTTAATAAAAGGAAATAAATTTTGCTTTTTACTTAAATGTAATTAGCATTTATTATATTAGTTTAACTTTTTACAAAAGTGTTGATCTTACGATAAAAGGAGGGAATCGCATTTCAAACTTAGTTAAGTTACGAAAGTGTTATTTTAATTCTAAGATTTTGAACATTTTTAGCATAAATTTTATACATACAAGCTCTTATTCAAACAATAATAACTCTCACATCAAATTTTAAGTACAAAATGAAGAGAAAAGGAAAGGGTAATTTTGATATTTTTTTAATTTGCTCAAACTAGAAATTTGATTGACATTAACACCCGATCATTGTCATCAGTTTGGTGAGTTCAAAGTTATGAATTCTATCTAAACACAATAAATTCAACAACAAAATGTAAGTAGTTTTGCCATTTTATATATGTGTAGGTATGAAATACTTTTGCTTTTATTTACAGTACACATACAGAAAATCACCCAAAAGTGCTCCACAAAAACATGCTTCCTTAGGCTGATATTCTTTGCATACTTTGTAAAATAATAAATCCCTTTTTTCCCTATTTTCTTTGTTAATTTGGCCATTAACTTAACATATGAGTAGGGTAGCTTCTTGAGAAGTATTTCTTAAGAAAACAGGCTAATATTTCTATTATACATTTTTCAACATCGAATGAAATTTCAACATCACCTCTTGGCTAGTTCTTTTCAAATAACAGGAAACAAATTAATGACTAACTTTTTTATCCACTTGCCTACAGATAACAAAATATATTACCTCTAAAAAAAAGCTTTTTAAAATATAATAAAATATATTACCTCTAATAAGAAGCTTTTTAAAATATAGCAGAGTGGAGTTTGAATTATTATTAACCAACACAACCTTTACAAAGGCATATATTGCATTCCCATGTGATCTGAATTGAATAATTTGCTTTGGATGAGTGTATATAAACTGAAAAGAATTTAAAGTGCACCTTTCTTTCCATAAATCTTCTAATTCTTGTAAAAGTTATAACTCAAAAGTCACATACTTTTTTTGTTGAGGAAAACTTGCCATTAATTTAATTATATAGGCATTGTTTCTAGTAATGCCCAGAAGAAACCAAAACATACATATTCACCATTTAAATGACTTTCTGGCAGCTGCATTTGTTCTTTGATCGACCATACCTGCTCCTTCTATATACATGTTACATAATGCAAAAGAATGTGGGTGCAAAAGAATATACGAGAGCATAATGCAAAAGAATATATGAGTAGGGTTGCTTCTTGAGAACTTCTTAAAAGAGGCTAATATTTTTACTATACATATTTCAATTTCAGTTTTGCAGCCTACTTTCCTTGTGTTCATTTGATAAAGTTATTTTTGTATTTATAAGGTGTATTTGTTGATAATATAAAAGTCTGTTCTTTATCTACACATGATGTAAATAAGAAGTTTAGAAATTCTTAACATGGGAAAGTCAGACTTCCATTTACAATCTTCAGTTTTAAATCTGTAATGTTGTTTGGCAGTAGTTTTCTGCTTGGTATAATTTTCTTTAAGTATAAAATTTGGATCTAATTATAGTAAATTGGAAACATATCACCAACTCCATGGTAATAAAAATCCAGTTCAAAGTCACACCCTATGCTACATACAGGCATGAACAAATATGTAACAATGTAATACCTTAGCCTTTTGTCCTTCCTAAGCCTTTTATTCACCAAAAAATTAAATATTAACAATTCGGCAAGCACAAAAAAACACAATAGTTCAAGCTTACCTGACTTGGACTTAAAATGCTGTAAAAAACATTTAAATTTAAATTATTAATAAAAATATATCGATGTAGTTCAAAACAATCTATAAACCTAACAAAAAGATCGAATTTCTGTATTAAAAAAAGTGTTCAGATCTTTTATTTTACTCCCATCATAGATAGGAACATGAAGCTTAATTTTTAAAAATCTATCTCTACTAACCAATTTCTTCACTGCCATAGTACGGGACCGAGATCGATAATCCATTTACATTTAGTAAGTACATATTGTTCACAACCCCTCCTCCCCCCAAAGAAGAGCCCACTACATCAATAATATCCCAATTCATATCTTCAGTGCTACATTCCCCCCCCCCACACACACACAAAATTCAGCAATTTATTTGTGCTCCTTTTGATTAATTTACAGAATTCCTCTAACCTAAGCAATTTAAAGTAATCGGAAGCAGATAACTGAGATGGCAAATCTTGATAAAGAACAGTTCTGAGATGAAAATTCCAGACTTTAAAGTTTTATTGTTTACAATATCTATTCAATTTAGCTTGAGACCATTCAAAAACACACGATTTTCTTCACTTCCAAACACCAATATTTTAGGCAGAAACATTTACTTCTTGTGTCAATCTTATGACACCTAAATATTTTAAAACTACAAAGCAGACCAGCAAGACTTCCAAACTGCAAGGTGTAAAATCGATCCACCAGGTAAAACTTATGAATTAGATGCTGAACAAAGGCAAATATCATCAAGATTAGAGCATTATTCAAGTAACTATAACAAAATGAATAACATCTCATTAGAAAACTCTCCACACTAAGGAGCCATGTATTAAACATGGTGGTAAAAGCATTACATACAGTCGGGCACTCAAACATCTTCCTGATATTTACATGGGAATTTTAGCAGTTTCATTTGGGAGAGACTCAATCATATGAATATGTACTGGATGTTTAGGTTAAAATAAAAATTCAATTTTCAATAATTTAACCTATTATTTACAAAAAAAAAAAAAAAAGTTTTACTTACATTGTTATTATGGCTACCAGTGTTGCTTGAAGGGGGATCAAAGTTTGGAGCTTCTTCACACAATTTCCTACATAGCAAAGCATACATAGAACTGTACTTCGGTTCATCGAGAGCTTTATCAAATATCTGCATAGAAACATTAGTAATTAATTTCCCTGAAATCTATAAAGAATACCCACATGTAAGTATTAACTGTTACAAGACTATAACAGTTTACATGTATAAGTAAGTAACTTTTCAATAAGACATTCAATTTAGAAATGAATATTTAAAAAGAAAAATAACAAAATGATTTTGATTCATAAGTATTTTGAAATTCACAGCTGAAAAGCATATGATGGTTACTTATGTACTCTTATTGCACTGGAACAGATTATGGCAAAGCAATCGAGGATTATCTGCCTACATACTGGGACTTCATACTGGGAGAAAGTCTTCATGAAAGACTTTCTATGGTAAACTGGCAGCATTCACACTACACATGGAGAAAACCATGAAAAACTCTGGTGCAGCCAAAATTTGAACCGGAGTCAACCATCAGTGTATGCAGCTAGTGGACATATAGGTTCTTAGAAGGTAAATGAAAACTACACCATGAAGATCTAGTGCAATATTTTCAGTATCTTATTTTACATTTAAATGGATAATGAACAGCATTAAATGAAAGTTAGATAAAGCAGAGGATTAAAATAAATGGTTTTAAGAACGTAATAATCTGTTACCCCTGTTAATTAACCAGTTTAAAGATTTTTTGTAAATATTTCTCCTACCATATTTTAAAGCACTGCTTTAATAACCTGAACACTCCGACACTGTTCTCTGATATGTGTTTTTCAGACAAAAGACCTTAGCTAAGTCTTCTGGCAAGATGCCAGTTAAAAGTTTCCTTCTCCATGACCAGATAATTCACACTGTTATTATTGATGGTATGGTCCTTTTTAAAAAAAAAAAAAAAATTCAATATTAAAAGATCTTTTCCATTTGAAATAAAACTAATTTGGATAATTATAAATTATTACCAGTAATATTACGCCTTTAAGAATTTGAGTTGAATCAAGTCCAACGCTGAGGAGTTCTTCACTCAGCTTGTGGAACTTCTCTGGTGTAAGCTTGTTAAGAATGCTAGAAAATAGGAAATGGGATTAATAAACTAGGCTTTTGATTAATTGAAAATATGTAACCATATATGAAAAAGATATGAATGCATAGTCATATTCATTTTCTCTTTAAATTATTTAAATACAGCGTGAAATTTATTTGTTATTCTGTTGATTGTGCAATTCGTAGATGTTTTTTAAAGTTGAAACAGAACGCTGTGTATACATGGTATTCTTTCAAATTTATTGTTGTTGTGTTAATTTAATAAAGTGAGGTGTGCGTAGTTCGTAGATTCGCTTGTTGCCTAAATTGTGCAATTCGTAGATGTTTTTTTAAGTTGAAACAGGACGCTGTGTACATGGTATTCTTTGAAATTTATAGTTGTTATGTTAATTTATTAAAGCGAGGTGTGCATAATTCATAGATTCGTTCGTTGCCTTCAATGAGGGCTACCTGCCTTAACGGAAGGATACCTTTAAGAAGGACTTTCTAAGGCAAACTGGCTTGCATTCACATCACACACTGAGAAACAACAAAAAAGCCTACCATTCACCTGGGATCAAACACAGGCTGATCTTCAGTAGTTTTAACCACTTGGCCATTGATGGGTCTCATTTTGACTTATTAAATTTTGATTTATATGAGAACGTTATTAATATTACAGAACATAACGTTACATAAGGCAATGCAAATATTTGTGTATGCTCATTTACGACTGTCAGATCTTTCAATCTTATGCATGCTGATTACAAACAAATTTGGTACAACTCTGATATACGCCCTATTTTCACCAAATGTGGCGATATGTGTTCTGCGCTGGTTTTTGGCGCAATTGTGTGTTGTATAGCAACCCTGTTGACATTGAAAAATCTTTCACTGGAGTTCGTTGCTTCGCATCATGCTTTGTGTCTGAGAAGCCAGGGGGGAAAGATAAAATGGTAGAAATTGTTGAATTGAAGTTCGGCAAAAGGAAATATCGTCGTGGCCATCCTGTTAAGGGACAGTGGGTATTTGGAGGTGTGGAAAGAGGTTCTGGGAGATTAATTTTAGTGGCTGTGCATGATAGAAGTAGGGATTTGTGATTATTTGTTGTTTTATTTATTTGTGAAGAACCATAGTATGAATTTTCTGGAAAATGTGTCTGGCTGTCATATAAATACGATAGTGATTACATGGCCGTATGAAATTGTTATTTCTGCTGTTCCAAAAAGCATTAATTCGGGGTAAGTGCATTTTATTTTATTCTTGTTTTTATTTTATAGAATGTTATGTTCATTGTTTTTTTAGTATGAATTTCTGTCGTTATTGTTGTTTTTTTGAATTGTTTGAAATTTATTTGTTATTCTGTTGATTGTGCAATTCGTAGATGTTTTTTAAAGTTGAAACAGAACGCTGTGTATACATGGTATTCTTTCAAATTTATTGTTGTTAATTTAATAAAGTGAGGTGTGCGTAGTTCGTAGATTCGTTTGTTGCCTAAATTGTGCAATTTGTAGATGTTTTTTTAAGTTGAAACAGGACGCTGTGTACATGGTATTCTTTGAAATTTATTGTTGTTATGTTAATTTGGTTGATCTTTACAATATGGTAACTGGTATTTTGGCGACATTTTGGAGGCGATAAAGGTTACTACCTGGGACTTTGGTAATAATCTGAGCAGTACTCAGTTCCGATTACGCATTATTTTGCGTGAGGAAAATGAGAGATCATGGGATATGTCATGTGATATTAATGGACGAATTACGGTTCTTTAATCGGAAAAGGGGGGATCGGGAAAAAATCTGGAAATTTTGTATTTAGCTTTATTCTGTGTTGTGTGAAACAGTGTTGGTTAATTTTTGGATCCCATGGCCCTAACTAAAGTGAATTCGAAATGGGTATTTAGGCATTGTGATAAAGAGAAGTTTGCTTTTTATTTTAGCGGAAGAAGTATGGAGGAAAAATTCGCAGAAAAAATCTTTCAATAATTTTATTGAATGAATTAGAAAAGTGTATCCGCCACGTAATCAAGATTCTGAAGAAGATTAGGTAAGTTAGTATTTTTAATTATTTGAGGATATTATTTTTATGCATTGTTCTAAATGTAAGGTGGAAAGGAATTTGGTATTATTTGGAAAATTGTTATTAGCAATGATTTAGCTTAAAGTAATTAGGATTGTAAGGTAATTTTTATTAATTTAACGTATGTGCTCATTTATATTTTAAGTAGTATTTTTGAATTTAATTATATTTTAATGAAATGATAGTTATTTTGTGAATTTTATGTTTGTAGGAATTTGATATATGTTTTAGTTGAAGTAAATGGTACATGTTTTAGTTGAAGTAAACGTGCATGGAAATAATTTAAATATCTGACACTAAGTATTTGTAATGGTTGCGGTATGAATTCGTTGGTGACGTTTATAACATAATAGATGATTTAGAGGTAAAAGTTTTTGGATATTTTATTTTATATGTGGAAATGTTCATATTTGGAAAGGGTAAATACTTTTTCGCGATCAGGTAATTTCATATATGTTCTTTTTACCGGGTTTAAAGATTGAGAAAATTGTCATGTATTTTCGTGAAATTTTTCTAATTTATGAGAAAAAAGCAGTGTACATGGATATAGTGAAGAGTGTGCGCAATGCCATTTTTGTGCAATTCTGAGATTTTTTTTAAGTAAAAATAAGTCGACGTGTACATGGTTTAGTGATATTTTAATGAAATGATAGTTATTTTGTGAATTTTATGTTTGTAGGAATTTGGTATACGTTTAATTTGAAGTAAACGTGCATGGAAATAATTTAAATATTTGATACTAAGTATTTGTAATGCTTGCGGTATGAATTCGTTGGTGACGTGTATAATGTAATAGATGATTTAGAGGTAAAAGTTTTTGGATATTTTATTTATTTTATATGTGGAAATGTTCATATTTGTAAAAGGTAAATACTTTTTCGCGATCAGGTTATTTCATATATGTTCTTTTTACCGGGTTTAAAGATTGAGAAAATTGTCATGTATTTTCGTGAAATTTTTCTAATTTATGAGAAAAAAGCAGTGTACATGGATATAGTGAAGAGTGTGCGCAATGCCATTTTTGTGCAATTCTGGGATGTTTTTTTAAGTAAAAATAAGTCGGCGTGTACATGGTTTATGTGTATGTGTTACTTTGAAAAACACGTAAGGAGTATGGTATTGTGCACTTTTCCCAATTTTGCAGTGAATATTTGTCATGATTAAGCAGTTTTGTTTGATAAAATTTCTAGCATAAGTGTAATTCGGCTAGTAGATTGTTGGAAGAAGTGTTCAGTAGATAAAAAGAAAAATGTCTTTACTTCGTGAAGACAAAATGGCGGTGGGGAAAAAAAAATAGAGGGTTGCTGTAGGAGAGTTGGTTGCCAAATTTTCGCCAAAAAATCGCCAAGTTACCATAATGTAAAGATTAACCGTTAATTTATTAAAGCGAGGTGTGCGTAATTCGTAGATTCGTTCATTGCCTAGATTGTGCCATTCGTAGATTTTTTTTTAAGTTAAAACATATTGCTGTGTATATGGACTCTTGCCTAATAATTTTGGTTAGAAACTTTACGGTTTTGCTATCTAAATTTTTTTTTTTTTTTTTTTTGGGGGGATTTTTAGCTTAAATTGTGTGTTCAAAACGTGGTTTTTGCATTCGCGAAAATCGTATTTTTGGAGACATTTTAGGCTTAAAGTTCGAAATGTAGACAAAAAATTTAGATAGCAATATGGCAGCGTGGAGTTTCTCGCCAAAAATGTTTGGCGAGAAATTTGGTGACTTGAGGGCGAGAGTAGTTCCACAAATTTATTTTTAAAAGATTTAAAAATTATGCTATGCAGAAGGTAACTTTTTATACAAATATATGGTTTTGAAACAATCCAAAATAAAATTTAAAATATAAACACATTAGCAATGAGTTCTTAAAACTTGATTTCAGAATTGACAACAACATTAAATTAAAAAAAATACTAACACAATTTTACACATCTGGCACAATACATATAATCAAATTTGAATATAATATTTTAAGAATTTGAAATATAATTAAATAAAAAAAAAAGATTTTAAAGAAAGAAGAATAATAAACCTCAAATGCAAAACACAATATTAAGCACATTCATACCCGTACACCTTTTCATATTTTATTTTAAACTATTGATATGAAAAAGATAAAGGTCTCCATATTAGGTGTGTAACTCAATAAGTACACACCCTCGAACTCTTCGAAAAACTTGGTCATTTTTTTCTTCTGGGGAGACTGCATCTCGTTTAATGCTGCTTGGAGGTACCCATCTGCGAGTGGCTGCAGGGCCTACGCTAGCGGCGTCTGGACGAGGGGGTTCGTCCCTATTAAAAAAAACGAAGGAATAAATAAACAAAGAATTATAATAAGTAATATGCTATTAAAACAAATACCATTATGGAAGAAAGATAAAAACAAGTTTTATAATATAGATTTAATCTAAATAATACATGATTAAGCGCACAAAAAAAATAAATTTTCTCGAACAGAATGACACAGAGTACTATAAATATTTAAAGTTACTTATTTACATTCACTTAATTAATATACTTATCAAAAGAAGTGTGCATAACCATTTACTCTAAGTAGCAATAAATTGAAAACCATGCCTAGCAAAAAGATCAAATTATTACATGTTAAAGAGAGTTCTCAGAAGAGACTGACAGTCTATTAATACCATATAACAGATAAAACATCAGATATTAAATGATGCACAATGAAATAATAGCATGTTAGAAATTAAAACCGGAACAGAAAAATTATACTGGATTAAACATATGTGAAAATATAGCTAGATAAATGAAAAAGTCTGGCAAAGAAATAAAACTGAAAATTTCTAGGCAACAAAATGATTAATAAATAAAATTCTATCATTAAATGGAAAACTACCGAGAATCAAATGTATTATATATGTGCGCTACACATACTGAAGAATAAAACAAATTTGCCAGCCTTCTTGGAAAGTCAAGACGAAGTTTCCATCACACAATAAGACAATTCTGATTGCAGCAAATATTGCATCTTCATCATTTGAATTATGCTAGTAAATTATATGTGTCAATTACTTAAGCGTATTACAATAGTTAAAAAGCTTTATCCAAGAATTTAACTGGGTAAATTGGGAAATGAGTCAATTCATCAGGGAAAGTGCAGAATCATCCACTGCTTAGTGTGTTTTTTAAGAATTACACAAACTCGGTATCCATGTACACACTGACCTATTTTCATTTAAAAAAACATTAGAGAATTGCACAAACTTGGCACTACACACTCCCTTGACTTTGTCCATGTTCATGTCAATCTATTTTCACTTAAAAAGTCAAAGGAAATTGACAAAAATCCTTGACAAAAATCCAACTCTTCTTACTCTTGTAAAAAGCGCAAAACAAAACGCGCCAAGTAAGAGGGTGATTCTGCACTTCACCCAATTTATCACTATAAATTTACCCAAACTTAACATTTGTTTCATAAAACAGCTTATAACATTTTTTCTTGTATGATGATTTAATTACCAGCATAAATTCCCACATAATTCAGAAAACTTAAAACTCTCAGAATTGATTCACATATTGCTTATAATAAATATACATTATGAAATAAATCAATGCATATTTTTTTCTACCTTTTCCCAGCACTGAAATTATTTTAAACATAACTATAGTTGCTGCCTAGGTTACCAGGTGAATAAAAAGATTAAATTACCTCCCCCCAAAATAGTTAATTTCTTAAAACAGATGACAGTCATCTTAATAAACAAATTTGTCTCAAATACAGAAATAAAAACACTTTTTAAAACAATGAATGAATAATAAAGATGCTCAGTCATTTTCAATTAGAATGACAGGATAATTATCAAAGTATTATTTTGAAACATTTAATATTTCAGATATTTTAGCAACTCTACACAGCTCTTTACCTACATCTTACTTGAAACTTATTTAGTTATGCGGTATATCTTTACATAAAAAGGAAAAGAACTCCATTTCAAAAATTTATTCATTTTTCCCTTTTTGGATCGAATATATTTGAACTTAAACAATAGAATTACTAGCTACATACAAGGAAACTAGATTCTTAGAACAACACAAAAAATATCAGAAAACACAAAAGACATGAATTCAAAAATACCTTCCTCCGGAGCATCGAGAAGCACTCCCCGATCCTCTCTGCCTGTCCGTTGTTACGTTTATTGTGACCACAGAGGAATAAAAGTGGAGCCGTATTGTTTCTTGGTAACTTTATCCTGGATAGAAATCATGTAATTACTAGGCTGGAAAAACTATAACCATATAATAACTAGGAAAAAATTCTTGAAAAAATTATCATATGCAGTAAATAAACTACACAGTCATATAAAGATCATAGATTTTTTATATACTTCAAATGTACAAGTAAAAATAACTTTAAATGTTTTGTTTCAGAAATAAAAGAGCAAAATACAGCTGTTAGAGATACAATAAAATAACATTACAATTATTATCTTACCTTCTTAGTACACACATACTAAGGATTTTCAAACATGCAAGAATACAAAATATATTTGTAAACAAGAGTTTTAAAAAATAAAATTTAAAAACCACTCCTCTGTTACAACTGCCATATGATAGAAATTATGTAGTAAAAAATTGCAAGAAAGTATCTTAATGTTATTATACACTAATAGTATTTAAACACGACAGTTAAATAACGCAAAATTTGGAATAAAAAGTATGATAGATGAATCAGATCCTTACAGGATTAACATAAACAAAAGAAACTGAGGTTTCTTTAGCGAATCCTTTCAAGAGAAATTAACAATACAATTTTAATACTTAAACATTAATGTACTTTTCGATGAGTGTTCTTCGGCATCATTAGATTTCAGATTAATACTGTGACAAACTTTAAATTGGGCATTGTGCTATTGGTCAAGTGCAATTCATTCAAAAGCATAATGAGGGAAAATGCGTAAATGGAAAATAGAATGCAATCGCTATAACAAATCTGCTGTGTGACTTCACTTTCCAAAGATAAAACTTAATTACAAATTAATGAAGTAGTTTATTTTGAACACTAAATCAAAAATTTATAGACGGAAAGTTGGATTTTAAAAAAGTGAAACCGCGTACAATTTTGAAATTCAAATAAAAAAAGCACCGTTAACTCACAACACCAACAATTTCACTGGAATAAAATACAGGACTGAATACCAACTGTTTATATCAGACCAATTGACTAAAAATTACATTTCATGGTCAACTCAAATTCAAATCTAGTATAAATTTTAACTCAGAGTAAGCGTCATAAAACCAAGATGGCAGAAACGCAGTTCAGTGATCCCAACAATCAACTCGTTCAGAGGGTTTGAATAATGATAATAGCGTTGAATCCCAAATTATGACCATTAATATCACACCAGAACACAAAATCTAAAATCACAAAATTTAAATAAAAAATAAATTTAGCTATAAAATTTAATACAAATATTTGAATAGACTCCCACTTACAACATAAAACCTTTGTCCAAGACACTGTGCCAAATTAAAGATCACATGCGGGATTATATTGGTAGAACGTTACATATCGGGGAATATCTCAAACCGGTTGTAGGTGGCGCAATTCTGGTTTCAGGTAAATTTTTCTAAAACTTAATTACATAAGCATGACATTTCATAAATTATATTTTACTTTAGGCAGTTTCTAAAAAGAAATAAGCATCACGTAATATTATAAAAGTGTATGCTTTGTACAAAAGTACGCACAAGGCTCTGAGACAAACTCCGAACAATGGGATAGCATAAAGAGGAAGAATGTTAATTGTGACAAAGTAAATAGAAAATGTTTAAGGATATAAAATTGCTTGAAATGTTGCGTAAAATAATAACCTTACCATTTATTCTTTAGTAACATAATTCATGTAATAATTAGAAATAATCAAAAATGAAATAAATTTTACTATTTATTTAATAGAATAAATATTTTTCTATAAATATTTGCTATAAATATTTTTCTGATCAAATTATCTTACGCAGTATTTCAGACCATAAATTTTTCACATTCCATCAAAGTTTTATACATTTTAAGCATACATGTTATTGTCTCAGTCTGAACCAATGAGGTTAGAATAGAAGGAGGGAGGGTTCGCAGTTTCCTCCACTATCGGGGAATGAAACTCCACCCAACAAGCGGCGTCCATGTTTGTAACTTCAAAACATTGCATTACGGCAGTGAAACGTACGTGTTTTAAGCTGTTCCGTGCATGCATTTTCCAATAAAAATATGTAAAATTTATAATGAAATGCTTTGTATTGTTAGTTTTTTGTTTTAAAGTTATAAAGATGATATCCGTAATTTACTACGTACAGAAAATCATTAAGAAATAGTTCGACATCTAAATGCATGTGCCTTGAAGCCTTTAAAAATGATGTTTCTGCATATTTCAAGAATTTGTTTAGGTTTTATTGGGAACCTGTTGGGTGTACTTTCCAATTTTTCCTTTAAGAAGTGATATTTCTGATTTATTCACAATATTATAATTTATTAAAGAATCATTTAAAATAATTTTAACCTGAAATTAATAGCAGAGAATTATCTAAAAAAATAGTCACAGGTTGCATTTTTTTTTAATGAAAGTTTTAAATAGATTCTTTTCACAACCAACAACTTTATAACAACAAGAAAATAAATATTAATAAAATAAAACAGATTTATGTGAATTCAGTGATTTCAGTTTAGGCGCATTTCATATTTATGAATCTCAAAGAAATTGCCTTGAATTAAGCTGAATTATAGAAATATACCTATATAAATTTTTGGATACATCTTTCCACATGTTCAGTTGTGTAAATATTTTTATATTATTTATATTTATATTTATATACCAGCTATAAACAGAAACATTAAAATGTATTTAAGGTATTTTGATTATTATTAAGTACTTTTTTTCACATCTGGAAAGAAAACTACATGACATTGTGATATTTTTTAACATATTTATCAAATTACTTAGAAAATGAAAATCAATACTTACGAATGAAAAGTAATCTTAGGAATCTTTTTCGAAAATCTGTTTGTGCATCCATATACAACACAAGCTGACATGCTTCAAAAAGAAAAGAAAAAAAATATTGCAATTACAGACTTCTTGCACAAGTCACAGCGATAACAGAAACATGGCCGCGAAGCTTCACCGTTTGAGTTGAACCTTCCCTCCTTCTATTATAACCTCCTTGGTCTGAACCTAGATTTATTCATTGAAAACCTATAGTTCCTAACAAATAATGTTTTTTGTGATCTCTTGGGAGACCCAGAGTCGTAGCTAGGGTTTTCAGCGCTCAGAGACATCTGAAGATTTCGCGCCCTCTATTGCTTGCCAAGGATGGAAAACATTTAATTCTAAAATGTCGTAACATCAGTTTCGCGCCCCTTGGATTATGCGCCCGGGGACAGGTGCCCCCCTTGCCCCCCTCTAGCTACGCCCCTGGGCAGACCACATGTTTCTCCAATTATTATGTGCCTTTCTTATAGTCTTTTAGTGCGATTTGTCTCTGAGGGGCTGGTGAATTTTTGGCATGGTTTCCAAAGATATGCTAGATGTTGTTAGTGAAAATGAAATTCGTACTTGGAGGTTGACAATGATTTAGATGGTAGGGAAATGGATGATATACTTAACCAGCTGTTAAACAAGCCATATTATGGTCAAAATAACTTTATTAATGCTTCGAAATTTTTCAAGAACTTCCAGGATCTGACCAGCTTAAATCCTCCAGTTTAAAATTTCTTAAGGAAGATCCAAATGAAGATTCATCAATGCATCATGGTTTAATGTTCTGAGAGCTGATATTGTTCGAAATTATAGTGATTTGACTAACAATAACAGTGGTCAAAAGTAATAGTGTTGTGAATAAGGATAAGTGAGTTAATAGATCTAAAGCTGCTAACGGTGTTTTATATTCTCAGATGGTTAAAAAGGGTATTTCATAAAATAATGCTAAAATGTTTAGCACATCTCACTATGTTTAAGCGTGGCCAATAAGAAATGGTGGGCCGGAGAAGAAATCGATTTCAGATGGTTTTATCTTCCGCAGCACATCAGAAAACCCATCTAAATTACTGAAAAATAGCCCTAGCATAAGTGTTGATAATAAATTTACTGCTCTGAATTTTAATTCTTGTTAATTTTTCTTGCGATGTTGATACTCAAATAATGATAATGGTGGTACTGGATATTAGCATTCCCTAAATGGAGATTCCCAAGCCACCAAAAATAAAACCAAATATGATTATTCCACCTCTGAAATTTAGCAAATTTGTAAAAAAAAAATTGACGGAGGAAATCAATACTATATTTACAACCAGAATCCAATGAAAATTCTTTAAAATATATCCTATCGATCTAGAAGCTTATAGAGACATTTCTAGCTACTTAATAAATGATAGTTTTCTACATTATATTATTCGTGCAAGAAAATGCTACCTATAAAAGTTGTTTTAAGTGGATTTCCAGCAGATACTCCTGCAGAAGGAATTGAGGATGAATTAACTGTTGAATGTTTCAATGCTGTGAAAGTAACTCCGACGTACAAATTCCGTACACGTGTTCCCAAGCCACTTTCGAGGTGCAGTTAGCAAACGAGACATAGGCAGAGAAAATTTATGATATTCAAACTTTATTATGTTTTCATGTCTCTGTTGATGTGTATAAGCTAAAGGATGGTCTTACTCGGTGACACAACTGCCAACATTTCTTCCACTCCTTGATTGACTGTAAATTCGTACCATGGTGTATTAAATGTAACGGCGACCAAAGAAGCTCTCAGTGTAAAGCTAAATGGATTTAAAAACTTAAAGTACTGTAATTTTAAATTGATGCATGCTAAAAATTTTAAATTATGCCCCAAAATCTCTTAAATATGGAGAAAAGAATTCAAAATAAGAAACACGTGGCATTATATTAGTAGCATTAAAAATGCCATACCATTTCGAACAACGCACAAAACTTATTTTCGGCAATTCAAAGGGGAAATAAACAAAAAAAGTGTTAATAACATGATTAAGAAAAAGTATCTATTAAAATACAGTAATTTTACGATAACCTGTCTCTGTCTATCTATATCAGTTTAATTAAGTTCTGTTTTAATTCATAACACAAGGGATTTGTTCTGGTAAATGAAGCAGAAGTAAACAATGTTTTGGCAACTGCTTCTGACTTTTAATACTTTTTCCGGGGGGGGTTCTGTATTAGCTAAAATAGTGAATG